AGTTTTTTTGGAAACTGGCAAGAAAGGTTATAAATTGAATTCAAATGACCACAGGAACTGCATCGGTCATAAATATGAGCCAGTTGCCAAGCTTCTGAATTGCAATCACATAAACATGGGACTGGTGCACCAGTCATAAATAACACAACAGCAGAATAATAGAGTTGGAAGGGACCTTGGAGGTCTTCTAGTCCAACCCCCTGCTCAGGCAGGAAACCCCATACATTGGTTGGTAGAAAACACAAATGGTCCTTTTTTTAATGTCCATTTGTTTGACAATTGTTTGAACTTGCAACGGTGCTGAACGAGTAATACCTATGGCTAGTTCTTGAGGTTCAACAGTCACAGTATAGCTTAGTCATGTGAGTTGATGCCAAACTGGTTTAAAGTCTTTTGCGATTGAAATTGGTGATGGTATGGAATTTTAAACTTGTTGGAGAAGTTGGGGCCAAATTTGAAACCTTTTCATGGAAACCATATATCCTACTAGAAATTTAAGACCCACTAGATTTATTTTTAATAAATGGACTTTGAGAAAAGATAAATACAATAGTTTCATTTCAGGAAAGCATAATATAGCAACATCTTGGTTTCTAGGTACTATTGTTTCTAATTGGATCCCTAGGGTGATGGGTTATATTCTCCCATGGAAGTAAACCCAATGGGTTTTGAGAAAGAATTTTTTTTAAAAGTACAGAATAAAATTATCCTTTCTCACTAATAATTGGACAGAAAGAAACTGTACAAGTTTCTTTCCTGTACAGTTAATACAGGGAATTTTTTTGAATGCTGACTGAAAGTTGTTAGAAAGTCCTTCATATTTTAAATAATAATTATCTATCTATCTATCTATCTATCTATCTATCTATCTATCTATCTATCTATCTATCTCTTCTATCAATCATCTCTATTTTAATAGGTTGGCATTTCTCTCATACATCCCTTTCTCTCCCTACTATTTCCTATTTCACCTAATTTTCACACACACAACCCTATTTATATCTCAATGGGAAACAAATAGGTGGCAAAACCATTACTTTTGGTTCTTAAAAACACACAGTTACAAAAACTGATTAGCAAGGCAAATTGCAAGCAGAAAGTATTATGATTCCAAACATGTCTAGTGTCGTGTTCTCTAGTACCATAGAGAACTGGCTTTTGATTACATCATTTTGACTATCTGGGCTCTGTGTTCATTGCTTGCTGTTTTGAGAAGATAATGTGAAACTAATTACATATACTTCCCTTATCCCACATGGGGAACTAAAACTTTTTGAACTCTATGAGGTGGCCTCTGAAGAAAAAGATATAGGGGAATTGTGATGATGGAATAAAGAAAAATGAACACGACATCTCACAGAATGAAGAGGAGAAGGAAGATCTTGTTACCCCAGAAGAGTATCACAAACCTATCAAGTGTATAGTCTTGGACTATCTGATAGTCTGTTTTGGGGGCTTCAAGTGACATCAGCAGTCCTTGCTTTTCATGATGTTCCCTCAGTTTTATAGATTTTTCATGAATCTCACTTCATGGTTTTGAGTCAATGAAATGGAGACGAAATGCCTGGATTTGTATGGTTGTGTGACAGTGTCAATTTCTTCTTCCAAAAGACTCTACAATACAGCAGGCACCATGAAGATCTAAAATATGAGCCATACGCTGGTAAAGGTTGGTAAGCCTCAAATGATTATGGCAAGGCTTTCTTTGCCCTCAAACATGGAATGAATGGAGAAGGGGCAGGTATGGGAGACAGTATTTCATCTAGTATGTCTTCAGAGTTTGTGCGTGGATATCAATATTCCTTCCTCTTCTTTCAATCATCAATAATATCTTCTTGGTACGGAGAACTTAAGTGAGGGAAGCTCTGTGTTTAGAAATATACTTTGGCTAAGGGAGGTGATAGTTACTATTTTCTTCATACCACCATCTGTGTTCATGTGAATCATTGCATTATTACTTGTACTATCGCCAATACTGGTCTATGTGGCTTAGTGTATGGGGTTGATTTGAATATTCTTTTTCCCCCCTTTTTATATTAAGCATATTAAGCACTAATATACCTGTCCTCCTTTCTAATTGTTTTTTCCAAGGCTCTTGGAAAGTTGTCTAATAATTTTAATATCACTCTCTGAAGGACATATAGTATAAATCATACCTGAAGTCGAATGACATGGCTATGATAGGGAGGGAGGGAGAGAGAGAGAGAGAGAAGGAGGGAGGGAGAGAGAGAGAAGAAGAAGGGAGGGAGGAAGGGAGGGAGGGAGAGAGAGAGAGAGAAGGGAGGAAGGGAGGGAGGGAGAGAGAGAGAGAGAGGGAGGGAGGGAGGGAGGGAGAAAGGAAGGCTTGAATACAATGGTTTTATGGTTTTATGAATATATGGAAAATATTGCAAGTCTATGCAAAGGTTAATAATAATAATAGTAGTAGTAGTAGTAGTAAAGTTGGAAGGGACCTTGGAGGTCATCTAGTCCAACCCCCTTCTCAGGCAGGAAACCCTACACCATTTCGGACAAATGGCTGTCCAGTCTCTTCTTAAAAACTTCCAATGTTCGAGCATTTACTGCTTCTGGAGGCAGATTGTTCCATTGGTTAATTGTTCTCACTGTCAGGAAGTTTCTCCTTAGTTCTAGGTTGCTTCTCTCCTTGATTAGTTTCCACCCGTTGCTTCTTGTCCTGCCTTCAGGTGCTTTGGAAAATAGCTTGATTCCCTCTTCTTTATGGCAGCCTCTGAGATATTGGAATACTGCTATCATGTCCCCCCTTGTCCTTCTCTTCGTTAAACTAGACATACCCAATTCTAGCAACCGTTCCTTATATGTTTTAGCCTCCAGTCCCCTAATCATCTTTGTTGCTCTTCTCTGTACTCTTTCTAGAGTCTCAACATCTTTTTTACATCGTGGTGACCAAAACTGGATGCAGTATTCCAAGTGTGGCCTTACCAAGGCATTGTAAAGTAGTATTAATACTTCACGTGATCTTGATTCTATCCCTCTGTTAATGCAGCCTAGCACTGTGTTGGCCTTTTTGGCAGCTGCAGCACACTGCTGGCTCATATTTAGGTGATTGTCTACTAGGACTCCGAGGTCCCTCTCACAGTTACTACTATTGAGCATGGTGCCACCTATGCTGTACTTGTGCATTTGGTTTTTCTTGGTGCTTGGGTATATAGCTATAGGAAGGGAGGAAGGAAGGAAGGAAGGAAGGAAGGAAGGAAGGAAGGAAGGAAGGAAGGAAGGAAGGAAGGAAGGTTTTTTAAAGGCTAAAATATGAAACTTACATCAATCCAAACCTAGCTGCTAAACCAAAACCTGTAAATGTCCATATATGTTTTATTTTAGGGCAATAGAAAAGGTGGATCTACTTTTATGTCCATCAGTTCTTAAATGAAACTATTGTAGGTCTAATCTAAGAAGAACTTTAGTTGAATACAAGGATCAAAACGGGAAAGGGGAGAAAGAGTTAAACAGTGAAACCACGCAAAGGAACTTTGGCTGGAAGATTGTTTGTTAGCTTGGCTGCAGACATTTGTTTTATTATTTGAAGGAAAGAGGGGCATAACTGATCTCTTATTGTGAAGGTAGTTTAGGATCAGAAAGAAATGAGGGAAGAAACAACCTTTGGAATTTAGTACTTACATTTTTTAAAAAAAATCCAAAATTTACAGTAGCATTGTTAAAATTCAAATCTATGGTAACAGCTACCTGCAAGAACATGTGTGAAATCTGTCTACATAGGCAGAGATGAGAATAGAAAAAAACAATCCTTTCTCAAAATATTTCTTTTGCATAGGAAGCTGAGTTCTGGCTTAACAAGCCAGAATTCCTGGGTTCAGATAAATTAATTTCTTCAGTGAATGAATCAGTTTATGCTGGAAGAATTGATTCATACAGGCAGATAAGACATATCCTGGACTCCCACAGCACATTTTGATTTTAATTGGTGAATTGTTCAACTCCAATTTAACCTAGTCTAGCAGTTGGGTGAGCTCAGCCCTTTTCTACGACTATCCCCAATGGGATGGCTTTGTATAATGGCTTTGTATAATCACCTGAAGTATTAATACCACTTTACAATGCCTTGGTAAGGCCACACTTGGAATACTGCATCCAGTTTTGGCCAACACGATGTAAAAAAAATGTTGAGACTCTAGAAAGAGTACAGAGAAGAGCAAGAAAGATGATTAGGGGACTGGAGGCTAAAACATATAAGGAAAGGCTGCTGGAATTGGGTATGTCTAGTTTAATGAAGAGAAGGACGAGGGGGGACATGATAGCAGTGTTCCAATATCTCAGGGGCTGCCACAAAGAAGAGGGGTCAAGCTATTTTCCAAAGTGCCTGAAGGCAGGACAAGAAGCAATGGATGGAAACTAATCAAGGAGAGAAGCAACCTAGAACTAAGGAGAAACTTCCTGACAGTTAGAACAATTAACCAATGGAACAAGCTGCCCCCAGAAGCGGTGAATGCTCCAACACTGGAAGTTTTTAAGAAGAGACTGGACAGCCATTTGTCTGAAATGGTATAGGGTTACCTGCCTGAGCAGGGGGTTGGACTAGATGACCTCCAAGGTCCCTTCCAACATTATCATCATCATCATCATCATCATCATGGGCCAAAGCATGTACAAAAGGAATGGGAGAAGAAAGTTTTTGAATATCAAACAAGGGAAGAAGTAGACTGTTATTATTGAATCATGCTTCTTTCTTGGAAAAGAAAGCCTCTTTCTCTGAAGCCAACTCTTCTTTTTCTTTTCTTTGTGAGATCAGCAGTGTTCCAATATTTGAGTGGCTGATACAAAGAAGAGGGGATTAACTTATTTTCCAAAGCACCAGAAGGCAAGACAAGAAGCAATGGATGAAAATAAATCAAGGAGAGAAGCAACCTAGAACTAAGAAGAAATTTTCTAACAGTGAGGACAATTAACCAGTGGAACGCCTTGCCTTCAGAAGTCGTGGGTGCTCCATCACTGGAGCCTTTTAAGAAGAGACTGGACAGCCATTTGTCTGGAAGGTTATAGGGTTTCCTGCCTGAGCAGGTGGTTGGACTAGAAGACCTCCAAGGTCCCTTCCAACTATGTTATTTTGTTATTCTGATTAGAAATGGGAAACCACACCAGTTACAAAGAATTCATCCTCGTGGGCTTCCTGATTGGGCAAAAAGCAGAGATATTCTTGGCCACAATAGTGATGGTGGTGTATGCGTCAACAATATTTGGTAACTTGACTATTTTGTTCATCACCATTACCAACAGTTGTCTCTATACACCAATGTATTTCTTCCTTGGCAATCTTTCTGTCCTAGACCTTTTTTTTTCAACAGTGACTACTCCCAGTTTGTTGAGGAATCTCCTCTCTGGAAACAAGACCATCTCCTTTGCTAGCTGCATGGCCCAATCCTATTTCTACTTCTTCCTGGGCACAGTGGAATACTTCCTCTTGACATGTATGTCTTATGACCGCTATGTAGCCATTTGTAACCCCTTACATTATCCGGTGATCATGAATGACTGTTTTTGCATTCAAATGGTAGTGGCTTGTTGGTTGGCTGGGTTTGCCTTTGTCCTCTATCCAACCATCATGGTCACCAGGTTTTCCTATTGCCACTCCAATGTCATTGATCACTTCTTCTGTGACAGTGAACCACTACTGAAGTTATCTTGTATGGATACCAGTGCGATACAAATAATCCTATTTGTGTTATCATCAATTGTCATTGTTTGTTCTTTGAACCTGACCTTAGTCTCTTATATTTACATTGTCTCTGCTATTTTGGTTATCCCCACTGGCTCTGGGAGGAAGAAGGCCTTCAACACATGTGTATCTCATCTCACATTGTTCTTGATGGCTTCTAGTGTCTCCATCTTACTGTATGTGATCCCATCTAAGCAATCAACTTTGGGGGCTCGCAAAATCCCGGCTTTACTCAGCAGCATAGTAAACCCATTCCTGAGTCCTTTTGTGTACACCCTGAGGAATGACCTGGTGAAGACAATTCTGCAAAAGCTCTTTGAACAGGCTCAAACCTTCACGGTTCAGAAGGTACAGAAATTCTTCATAGTTTTGGTCAGGTTTGTAGGGAAAGCCAGAATTTAAAACAGTGGTATCCCACTCTTTTTTTTTTGTCAAGATAATGATTTAACAGCTAACCAGCTTATGTAATGTAAGATGTAAAGATGGGAATGACTCAGCAGGGTCTGTGTCTCTTTAAGAACCAGCAGGGTCTGTGTCTCTTTAAGAGCCTTTGTATAAAGGGAAGTCTCCGTTGATGTGTTCTCTCTCTTCCGTTTCCTGCTGTAACTGTGGTGTGTTGGATCCTGCTGTATTGGCAGGTATATGTATATTATTCCTGGTGTATGATATTGTAGATAGTGTAAGATAAACCACCTTTAATATAGACCACTGTTTACTGTGTTTACTCCTGGGTTATCTCATGCAATAAGACTGTGCATGCTCTAACATTTTTTCCCAGTCTGAATGTGGAAACTATGTTCCAGAGCATTCCAAGAAAGGAGCCTGGGAAGGAAAAACAACCCCTCTACATGATATTCAGTTTAATGCAAATATTAAAATATTCAAACAAGGTTGAAATGATAATTTTCCATTTATTTAATAGGTACTCCGTTTTGTCACTTTAAGATTCACTCTTTTTTTCCATAGTGTCTTCATACCATCTATGATTGCAACATTACATATTGTCGAGTTATTTTGTTTAAAAGAAACAAGTGAATACAGGCAGTCCTCCACATAACCATAACCATAACCATAAAGTTGGAAGGGACCTTGGAGATCATCTAGTCCAACTCCCTGCTCAGGCAGGAAGCCCTATATCATTTCAGACAAATAGCTGTCCAGTCTCTTTTTAAAAACTTACAACAGTTCATTTAGTGACCGTTTGAAGTTACAACACCACAGAAAGAAAAGTGACATAACCTTTTTTTCCCTTTCACACTTACAAGCATTGCAGCATTCCTGTGGTCACATGATCCAAATTGGCCACTGGTTCATATTTGTGATTTTTTTTTTTAATATCTTAGGGATATTCTTAGGGATATATGGATGGTTACAGTGTCCTGAAGTCACATGATCTCCTTTTGCGACCGTCTGACAAGCAAAGTTAATGGGGGGAAGCCAGATTCACTTAACAACCTTGTTACTGCAGTGATTCACTTAACAACTGTGGCAAAAAAGTTGTAAAATAGGGCAAAGCTCACTTAACCAACATCTCACTTAACGACAGAAAAGTTGGAATCAGTTGTGGTTGTAAGCCAAGGACTCCCTGTATGATAACCCTCATAAATTTAACAGCTGTCAGCCTGGAGAGCTAGTTCAGATAATTAGCATGCCCATCAATTAATTCCACTTTATTGTAAGGTTATATTAGCAGAAAAATTGCGAGTCTGACAGTGTATTTCTGACAGGCCCACACAGGAAGGCCCAATTAAACTGATTGATTGCTAAACAGCCTGGGCACAGGAATCTTCTCAACTAAGTGCTTAGAATTAGATAAGGGTCAATGGGATTCAAGGGTTGGACGTAGGCAGTGGTGGGATTCAGCCAGTTTGCACCACTTCAGCAGAACCGGTAGCTAAGGAGAGGATGGAGCAAAGGTTTCCACAAGATGGACTCCGTACCAAAGAAGACCTGCCTCCTGGTATGTGCCATATGTAATTTCCTGGCAAATGGAAGCCACAACATGCCTTCTCTGTTGACCTGACAGACTGCGCAGATATAATCGGAGAGAGACAGTCCATCACATAGCCCAGCTGCCTACTTATTCAGTGCTATATCAATAGCCAATCATCTCAATTTCTTGCAAAACCCAATCCATTGTCTCAGTTCAGTCCTCAAAGCATCCTGCACCTGTTTGTTCCTCAAACAGTATATGATTGGGATCAAGAAAGGAATCATGACAGTACTCAGAAGAGTCATTATTTTGTTGAAGATGGATTCATTGGCATCCTTTGGTTTCATATACAGGAAAATACAAGTACTGTAAGCGATCAGGACCACAATAATGTGAGAAGCACAAGTGGAGAAGGTCTTCTTCCTCCCAGTAGTTGAGGGGATGCGCAAAATGGTGGAAATGATTTTGACATAAGAGACAATGTTGACACTTAAGGTCCCGAGTAGAGAGAATACAGCAACTACAAAATAAGTCATTTCTAGGGAGCTGCTGTCAACACAGACCAGCTTCATTAGGGGTCTATTGTCACACAAGAAATGATTCATGACGTTAGGACCACAAAACGGCATCAGAAATAAAGGAATGGATGGAACTAGAATTAGTGATATTCCCCCAGCCCAGCAACAAATTACCAACAATGAGCAGATTCAGGGATTCATGATGGTTGTGTAGTGAAGAGGGTTACAGATGGCTTTGTAGCGATCAACAGACATCGTGGCCACTAGAAAGAAGTCAGTGGTGCCAAAGGCAAAATTTAGAAATAACTGTATGAAGCAACCAGCTACAGAGATGCTCTTGCTTCCAGTGGCTATGTTGGCCAGTGTTTTGGGAATTACGGTAGTTGGGGACCCTATGTCTGCCAATGCCAAATGTCGGAGGAAGAAATACATTGGGGTACAGAGCTGAACATTCAGCAGTGTGATAATAATAATCAACATGTTTCCTATTAGTGTCAAAAGCTAAATAGTAATAGTAATAGTAGTAAAGTTGGAAGGGACCTTGGAGATCATCTAGTCCAACCCCCCTGTTCAGGCAGGAAACCCTACACCATTTTGGACAAATGGCTGTCCAGTGTTGGAGCATTTACTGCTTCTGGAGGCAGGCTGTTCCACTGATTAATTGTTCTCACTGTCAGGAAGTTTCTCCTTAGTTCTAGGTTGCTTCTCTCCTTGATTAGTTTCCACCTGTTGCTTCTTGTCCTGCCTTCAGGTGCTTTGGAAAATAGCTTAATTCCCTCTTCTTTATGGCAGCCCCTGAGATATTGGAATACTGCTATCATGTCCCCTCTTGTCCTTCTCTTCATTAAACTAGACATACCCAATTCTAGCAACCGTTCCTTATATGTTTTAGCCTCCAGTCCCCTAATCATCTTTGTTGCTCTTCTCTGTACTTTTTCTAGAGTCTCAACATCTTTTTTACATCGTGGTGACCAAAACTGGATGCAGTATTTCAAGTGTGGCCTTACCAAGGCATTGAAGAGTGTTATTAATACTTCACATGATTTTGATTCTATCCCTCTATTAATGCAGCCTAGCACTGTGTTGGCCTTTTTGGCAGCTGCAGCACACGGCTGGCTCATATTTAAGTGATTGTCTACTAGGACTCCGAGGTCCCTCTCACAGTTACTACTATTGAGCATGGTGCCACCTATGCTGTACTTGTGCATTTGGTTTTTCGTGCCTAAATGTAGAACATTTAGGCAAGAAAAACCTCCCAAGCAGGAGGAGAAAAAGGCCAACTGCAACTTGGGGATTGTTAGTCAGCCCCAACAGTATGAATTCCTTTATTGTGGTCCTACTTGCCATTAGTCCATTCCTGAAAGTAGAGCGAAGAAATTAATTTCCAGATCTCCATTCTTCTTTTAATCACATGTTTCAAATGGATACCAGTTCATCCCTTTTCATTCATTGTATTAAAATCAAATAGAAGTTAAAACTTGATGGTTTGAATTAAACCAAGATACTTCAAATATGTTATTGTAAGTGGAGTAATTCTTGTAGGCACTCTAATTCTGGTTGTGTTTAAGCCAAATGAAGTAAGAAAGATCATTCCATGTGTCAACTTGTCTACAACAATTAGTTCTTGTGAACAAGCAAAGATTCTTTTTTTTTTAATAATTTTTTTTTATTTTCCATTTATCCAACATAGTTATACAACAAAATTCACTTTACAAAATAAAATAAATTCATAATCATAACCATAACCATGACCATAGGTGCTGCTTGCTCCTTCCCCCCAAGCTGTATCCACCCTCCCTAATACCTTCGTTATTTCCCTCCTCTTTCTCTCCTCCCCTCACTACTCTCTTCCCCTCCCCTTCTCCTCTTACCATTCTACTTCCTCCCTTCACCTTCCTCCCCTCTCATCCCTCTCAAATACAGGAATATAGCGTAGGGGAAATGCCCAAGCAGCACATCTCTCATAAATTACCATATCTATATTATCCTATTCTACCTATTTACCCACCCACCCACTCACCCACCCACCCACCCTCAACCCCCCCTCACTTCCCAGAGCAGAGTACAAGGTCATTAATAACAAAATTAACAATATGCAATAAAAAAGAAAAAAGAAAAAGAGAAAAAAAATCATACTTAGCTTTAACTCCCCTTAAATTACATCATCATAAACAAATCTCTTATACCACATTTACTATAAAATTTACTCATAAAATAAATGAAACTTTATAGTCCTATATGTCTTCTGAATATAATCTATCCATCTTCTCCATACAATAATATATCTTTCTTGTGTATCAACAAGCAAAGATTCTTTTCTGAATAATGGTTGTCTTTTTTTCCCCAGCTTTGCTCAGGTTTCTCCAGACACTGACCTTGGAGGTGGCTATGGAGATAGACATCCTCAAAAAGTTCTTACTTCTCTTATGGAATTTCATAGAATAGCTTCTCACTTCCTTCCAGCAGCTGCAAAGGCATTAAAAGAAAGAGAGGTGATGTTCCTAGAGTGAACCCAGTTATGATGGGGCCACTCAGTAGCATTACCTCTATGTTGAAAACATGAATAAGTCAGCATTCTCTTCATCCTGCTGTCCTGTTTGGACAATACATCAGAAAAAGAAGATTGGTTCAACCCAACAATAGCCCAGGGCTGCTTGGAACTAGGACTGATCTCCCTTCTAATCTCAAAAATGATTTGCAGATGTTCTCATGACATCTTCTTATTCAGAAGCAAGATGTGCATGTAAGTGCACATAATGTGTCTAGTGTCCAAGACTGGAGACCGATCAAAGGCTTACTTTGAATGACTACTAACCTTGATGGAAAATAACTTACAATTCCTCAGACTCACCCTCTTCTGACTAGAATACTTTGTAACTGTGCTGTCCCACTCACACACACTCTCACACACATAACTGTGGTTTAGTGGGTTTATCAATATTCCCCTGCAACGCCCTTCACAAAAACCCAGAACTGTCCAAATTAAGTCCAGCCACAATTAGACCAATGCAAGTTCATAGAGCAATGGTCAATGAGTCCACAAGGCATTTAAAGACTTTCCAATCAAAATAAACCCACCAGTCAAAATTAAATCCATAATACAAGAGGATTCACGAGGCAAGAAAAGTTCAGAGTTCACAACGCACAGTCCAAATCAAGGCACGGTATCATCCTAAAGCAGTGATGGCAAACCTTTTAGAGACCGAGTGCCCAAACTGCAACCCAAAACCCACTTATGCATCGTCGAGTGCCGGGTGGGTGTGGCCCATTGACTGGGTGTGGCCCATTGGCTGGGTGTGGCCCATTGGGTGGGCGTGGCCATGGTGGTAATGACAGACTGGGTGGGACTAAAAAGTTCAATCAATCAATTCCAACTTTGCAAGATCTTTTTTTTTCCCGCGAGAAGTTGAAATTGACTGATTGAACCATTTTTTTTTGCACATGGTGGCAGAGGCCTAAAATGAAAAGGTTTTATAAAACCCAGCTGAAGGCCTAGGATTGGGGCGACAGCGTGCGTGCCCACAGAGAGGGCTCTGAGTGCCACCTGTGGCACCTGTGCCGAAGGTTCGCCACCACTGTCCTAAAGCAAGGCAAAAATTGCAATGACTGGAAAACACACAGCTAAGAAATGAACACATTATTCCCAGCATTACCTCCATCTATCTGCTGTGCTAAATGACCAGCTTCTTGTTCAGTCAATCAAGAAGGGTGAGGCTTTCTCCTTGCAAGTAATCTGGCTGACCTTCTCTGCTCCTGCCTTTTCTCTGTCCTATGTGTTCTTGGATCAGGTGCAGCAGGCAGTTCCTCTTCCTCATCACTGACAGGCTGCAGCTACATGCTTTCCCCACCTGAAGCCTCAGGGCTGTCCTGTTGCAGCTGTATTTGAGCCATCTCCATCTCAGACGGCTGCTTGGAACCATTAACTCCCTTGCAGATGTACCTGGAAATGGTTCATCTTCCTCCCAGCTGACATCTGGAGAGATAACTGGGAAAGCAGCTGGGGGAGTCATCACCCTATCTTGTTTAAAAAATGCAAACACTTACAGGGATCACCTTTTGAATGGATGGGGAGGAGAACAATCTTTTTTTTCTTTCATAAAAGTTTTCTAAATACACTGATAATAGTTGTCACTTCTCCTTTGGCCAACATTGGTTTCAGATGCTTCCAAGTAGACAGCATGAAGACAAACTGTCCTGGGAAGAAATGGATTTAATTGTCATTTATTTCTTAAGACCTGTAAGTGCTGTGGGACAGGAGGAACAGTGTAATTCAGGAGAAATTTTTTGTTTCAGAGGAGCATCTCTGCACAAGTTGCTTCTGTAGATAGTCTTTCCTTGCAGAATTGGGTCAACTCAACAAGGTTTCTACCATACACCTTTTTTGGCACAATCCAGGAAGCCAAACTTAATTATAATTGGGGATGTTGTGAAAAAGATACCAAGAAGAAAACAATCCTGGTCCAATTTCAGTGGTGGGATTCAGCCGGTTTGCACCAGTTTGGCAGAACCGGTAGCTAATTTTTTGTTGCCCAGGTCCAGAATGGACTTCCAGCAGTAGCATCCACACAAAGAACCGGTTGTTTCACATATTTGAATCCCACCATTGCCCAGTTTCTAAACCTGGACTTTCACAATTTTTTCTTGCAATATGGGGTTGAATAAAAGAGATAAGCTAAACATTCAAACTTCCTCAACATTTTTATGATCAAAATCTCCATTTCTGAATTGTCCCTGGAAATAAATAAGAATATAATTCTGATCTTTTCACCTCCAGAATGTTAGTTCATTAAAGAAATCTAGCAAAAATGTTTTGTAAGAAAAAAAAAACCTGCTGTTGGAGCACCCACAACTTCTGGAGGCAAGCTATTCCACTAATTAATTGCTGTTAGGAAATTTCTCCTTAGTTCCAGGTTGCTTCTTTCCTTGATTAGTTTCCATCCGTTGCTTCTCCTCCTGCCTTCAGTTGCTTTGGAGAATAGCTTGGTTCCCTCTTCTTTGTGGCAGCCCCTGAGATATTGGAAGACTGCTATCATATCACCCCTAGTCCTTCTTTTCATTAAGCTAGAAATAACAAGTGGCATTGTGTCTAGTCGTTGTGTGGTTTATATGTAGCATGAAGTAGGCATTTATAGTTTGCAAACCATAGTTTATGAATAGTATAATGTGAAACTTTCACCAATTGTAGCTTAATTTAAGAACAATAAAGGCATTTGCAGTAGGTTTCATTAGTTATCTAGCATATTCCCCTGTAAATATTGGACCTAGATATAATTTACATTTGCTTCCAAACCAGTCCAGGCATTACAAATCAGAAATTAACTAACTTAATATTCTACTTTGGAATTCAGAAATCCATTTCTTAGTTTTACAAAGTAATATTTTAGCTCACCACTTTTGAGATTTACACACATTAAAAAAAATGCAAAAACACTCAATCCTGGCAAACTACATACACTTACAAAATATTCACAATTTTTTCAAGATCATTATACTCATCATCTCAGTCATGCACCAAGGTATTTTTAATATGGTTACAAATCAGAAGCAAAGCAAAAACATCCAACATTTACTTGCTAATGTATTTTTGGTTTGTCATAATATTTTAACCACTGGGAATCATATCAATCATTGTAGCATTCACATAATTTTTGAGATCCTTATGCCATTTTGTCATCTTATTTGTGCTTTACTTATTTTGCTTAGTTCTGTAAGCAAAATGGACACAGGCTAATAATATAGAAAATGGCATTTACACCTCTAGATTGTCCATTTTGCTTTCAAATCAGAGGCAAAGCAAAAACATCTGTTAAAATATTACCCTTTAATTCAGTTTGTTGAGAAGCATGGCATTTTCCAAAGTACTAAGAATTTTCCATTCTTAGTACTTTGAGGAGATGTCTTGTCTTCTTGGCTCACATATGTAACCCCTTCTTCTTCTATACTTTTTCATGACAATGAAGATGGAAGCAACCTCTCATAAACAATAGAGCTAGTTACTGTTTTGAAGCAGCTAGCTATCAATTTTTGCTTCCTTAGTTATTTTTAGGATGCAAACTATTTTTGGCTCCTTGCAATCTACATAAAAGCTATTTTCTAGTTGATTAATCAATGTTTTGTTATGCCTAAAAATCAAAGCAAAAGCATCTATTAAGATATTAACCCTTAATTCAATGTTTGGGAAGCATAGCACTCTCCATTCACAGGGATTTTGAGAAGAAGCCTTGTCTTCTTCGCTCATGGATGTACCCCTTCTGCGATATCGAGCCATCATCTTTAATATCTTTCCATAGCAATGAACACAGAAACAACATCTTACACTCAATAGAGTAGTTACAATTCTGAAGCATGTGATATAAGAAGAATTCAAGACTGACTTGTGAAGATCCCTCAGGTACATCTCAGTGCAAAGAAATGCATTGCAAGGAATCTGTATCAAATATTCTGTATCTCCCTCTATTGTTGATGTCAAACCCAAAGACAGAGAAGACCATTGTGTGCAGGTTCCAAGGGATGTCTTCACTTCAATTGAGGATTTCTTTGATTAGCCATTCAATTCAGATCTAATAATACTAATCAGTTCTCTCTCAATCAATTTTGAGTATTTCAAGCACACATTTACAAAACTCATTGAAAACGGTGGGAATCAAATGGACTTGGCCGTGTCTAATTCCATTGGCCATTGGTAATAAAACTGAGCCTCCCAGTGGGACAGTGAATTCACACAGAAATTATTTGAGGGAGGATTCCAGAGCATCACAAAACATGATCAGACTTGGACATCAATGTCCATTTCTGATCTGGACTCATATTTCTTTTATTCAACTGTAGTTTTGCTTGCATTCTGAGACATTCAAGAACTTTCCTCTGCTTTCAACCTTTGCTAGATATTTGGATACCAAAAAATGTTTATACATGAGAACTATGAGTCATATTGAGCAAGATAAAGGAAGGGAGGTCTTGTCTACCATCTTTCTCCAATATCCCAAAGCAACTTTGCATGAATTCTTGATAGGTCTTGAGAAATAAGATGCTATAATTCAAAAAGTTCTTAGTCTTGTGGTTTGGTTTGAATTAACCAACAAAACCACTTAATTAGATACTTGTTTTATTCATTTTACTTATTAAACCAAATTTACTGCCCACCTCACATTAAGGTGACTATGAGCACTTTACAACCATTATTTTTTATATTGGCAAACTTCTCTAGTTCTAAATCTCATGTTTCATGCCTTTACTATGCATTTTCTGTTACATTCAGCTTTATCAATGGGAGCATTGCCTGCTGATATTCTATAATCATTGAGCTCCATTCCCCAGTTCAGTTATTCTACCCTGAGATAAATATCAAGACGGATAGCTACATTCACCAGTATTGACTTCATAAGTAAACCAAAACCAAATATCTTATTGTACTGTATTGTATTGCATATGATCCACACAGAGTGCCAACTAATAAAACATACTTGAACCCAAGAAACAATCAGGAGATGGTGGCTGTATGGTCTGCTTCTGAAGATGGTAAGAGCTTTGAGGATGCATTAGGTGAAGCTCTCATGTCTCCTAGGTCACATAATGTACAACCAGATGTGTTTTGTAAATGGACAACCAGGAAAGATGGGCAATTGTCTTTTTACATTGTTCTTCACTAGCAAACCAATTTTTTTCAGGGATTTGGCCTTTGATGTCAATCAGATGTTTCTATTCTTGATTACCCCATCCTCTATGTTTTCTCAAATCCCCTTGTAAGACCATCTCAATGGGTAATTATTACATCTGAAGGCAGCACAATCCATTCAAAGACATTAAATCTGAACATCTATTTTGGAGCCCTAGCAATAGCCAATCATCTCATTTTTTTTACAAAACCAATCCTTTGTCTCAGTTCAGCCTTCAAAGCATCCTGCACTTGTCTGTTCCTCAAAGAGTATGCGATTGGGATGAGAAAGGGAGTGATAACAGTATTCAGAAGAGCCACTATTTTGTTGTAGTCTAATCCAATGGTGCCTTTTGGCATGATATACACGAAAATACAACTGCTGTAAGTGATAGTGACCACTGTCATGTGAGAAGCAAAAGTGGAGAAGGTCTTCTTCCTCCCAGTAGCTGATGGAATGCGCAAAATGGTGGAAATGATTTTGACATAAGAGACAATGTTGACACTTAAGGTCCCAAGCAGAATGAATATAGCAACTACAAAATAAGTCATTTCTAGGAAGCTGGTGTCAATACATATCAGCTTCATTAGGGGTCCATAGTCACAAAAAAAATGATTCATGACGTTAGGACCACAAAATGGCATAAGAAATAAAGGAATGGATATAACTAGAATTAGTGATAACCCCCCAACCAAACAAGAAAATACTAATAATGAGCAGATTCGGGGATTCATGATGGTTGTGTAGTGAAGAGGGTTGCAGATGGCTATGTAGCGATCAACAGACATTGTGGCCAGTAGGAAGAACGCAGTGGTGCCAAAGACCAAATAAAGAAATACCTGTATGAAGCAACCAGCTAAAGAGATGCTCTTAGTACCAGTAGCTATGATGACCAGTGCTTTGGGAATTATAGTACTTATATACCCAGTATCTACCCATGCCAAATGTCGGAGGAAGAAATACATTGGGCTACAGAGTTGAACGTTCACCAGTGTGATAATAACAATCATTGTGTTTCCTATTAATGTCAAAAGATAAATCCCAAGCAGGAAGAGAAAAAGGCTAACTTCAAGTGGAGGGTTGGCATTCAGCACCAACAGTATGAATTCCTTTATTGTGGTCCTATTTGCCATTAGTTCATTCCTAAAAACAGAGTGAAGATATTAATTTCCAGATCCCTATTCTTCTTTTAATTTCATGTTTCAAATGAGCATCAGCTTATCAGTTTCCATTCTTTGCATTAAAAATCAAAGAAGTTTAAAACCTGATGCTTTGAATCAGACCACAATTCTTCTAATATGTTATTCCAAAGAGGACAATTCTTCACTGTAGTCTACTTCTGAATGTGGTTAATCCATGTGGAGCTACAAGGGATCCCTCCATGTTTCAGCCTGTCAAAAACAATTCATCCTTGTGGACACGCAAAGGTCTGTTTCTGGATGATGATATTTTGGTTATCTCACCTTTGCTCAATGTTCTCCAGACTGTTCTTCTTAGATGGGTTCAAATTCTCTTTCAATATTTTTTACCTAAAATCAATGGGAACAGAGGAATGTTAACAGAATCAATGTGAACAGATAAAGTTGATTTGGGGGCTGAAGATTAAAATGCATACAGGAACTGGGTACATCTAGTCTAATGAAAAGAAGGACTAGAGATGACATGATAGCAGTGTTCCAATATTTAAGGGGCTTCCACAAACAAGTGGGGGATCAAGCTATTCTCCAAAGCACCAGAAGGCAAGACAAGAAACTATGGATGCAAACTGAACAAAGAGAGAAGTAACCTAGAACTAAGGAGAATTTCTTGACAGTGAAAAAAAAAATCAGTGGAACAACTTGCCTCCAGAAGTTATTATACTCCAATACTGAAAAAAAGTATTGAAAAAAAAGGAACTATCAAATTTTATTCCCTTATTTTTGATGCCTAACATTTTCACCCCTTGCAATCTACATATAAAAGTATTCATATCATTGTTATGATGTTATGCTATTGTCTCATTTTAATTTCTGCTGGTAGGAGCCATTGTGTACATGGTTAAACTGTGTTTCATTATGTCTACAAATCAGAGGCAATACATCTGAAAACATCACAAGAATCCTTTTCATAAGATGTACATAAACTGGGAGAAACTAGTGGCCCCAAGAATGAAACTTTGGGATGATCATCAGTGAGAGGTCTAGCTTGAATCTGGAAAAAGAAAGGAAGTAGTGGTTCCTATTTTCATCTCCATATCCCAAACTTTCAGCAGGAAGATTTCACGTGGTCACTTCCAATTCAGTCTTCTTTAGACTGGCATTCTGATGGCTTTGCCTACACATACTGTAGGATGTGTTTTTATTTTCCTCCATCCTGTGACACTTTTCCCCAGAAATAAACTTAACATATGATTAATTCCAAGGCAACAATATCCCTCTTTAATAATCAGTTAAATAAATCAACATTTTAAAAGTATAAGTTGAGATACGCCCTTGGAGACATTTGTTAATAGGTTCCCGAGAGAGTAAAGTTTGTAAGTAAATTTATTCATTCTGGTGGCATCAAACTTTAATGATATTAGGCCTGATTTTCCTAGCTTGCAGTGCATATGTTCAGCTTCATAACAGCAATGAAACCCAGGCAGGATATCCAATCCATGCAGTCAACGGATGTGACACAAATGTACAACCAAAGATGAAAAAAGTTGGTCTCATTTTCTCCATGTTCTTGAGATTTTACTGAGAAGATCATCAAAATTGAGGTGGCTGCAGATGATTAGATAAATAACTTAAAAACAGTGTATCTTTTTTTTTTTAATTTATAAACCGCACCACTTCCGCAGGACTCTGGGCGGCTAATAATAAAAACACCATAAAACATGACAAAACAAACAGTACAATAACATTCACCCCGGGGTCAGGTTTTATAAACCCCAGGCCTGCCGGAAAAGCCAGGTCTTAAGCAGCTTACAGAAAACCAACAGAGTGGGAGTGGTCCTAATCTCCGGGGGGGAGCTGGTTCCAAGACGTTGGCGCCATCACAGAGAAAGCCCTCCCCCGCGGCCCCGCCAAATGGCACTGCTTGGCCGACGGGACCTGAAGGAGACCCAGCCTGAGGGATCTAACCGGACGAAGGGAACTATGAGGTAGTAGGTGGTCTCGCAAATAGCCTGGCCCTGAGCCATATAGGGCTTTAAAGGTAATAACCAACACCTTGAATTGGACCCGGAGACCAATAGGCAACCAGTGCAGCTCACGGAGGATAGATGTAATGTGGGTGTATCGAGGAGCACCCACTATCACTTGCGCGGCTGCATTCTGGACCAACTGTAGTCTCCGAATACTTTTCAAGGGTAGACCCATGTAGAGCGCGTTGCAGTAGTCCAGACGTGATGTGACAAGGGATGAGTGACTGTAAGGAGAGCCTCCAAGTCCAGGTAGGGTCGCAACTGGTGAAACAGTATATAAAAAATCAATGTCTATTCTGGGATGGTGGACTTTAACACCATGATATGTAGGAATCCTTAGTCTTGAAAAATAAGGACAAATATCTAAGAAAAGAAAGAATGCACTGGTAATGTGAATTTCTTAAGAAAATAGCTTTTGGGGGGTAAAATATGGGTAAGGGATGATGCACTAGCTACTGTATGCATTTTGGACTGTTGTTTTTAAACAATATAATTTACCGAGATGTGTGAACTTATTGAAAAGCACCTCAAGACAGAATCCAGAAACAGCACAGAAATAGATATCCTTCATATTCTGAATGTGGACAATTACAAGTTTATATGCTGAAACAATCTGGAATTCTGATAATCTGTTCTGAAGTTTCAGGGTGTGTTGAAATTCTAAGAATTCATGCTGCAAGACCCTTCAGACTCCTATTGGACATGGAACTGAACTCTCCCAACATCACAGAGGTGACTGAGTTCATCTTAGTTGGCTTCCAACCTTCCAGGATCTTGGAATGCTTCTTGTTTTGGATGTTCCTGTTGATTTTTCTGCTCACATTAACTGGGAATTTCACCATCATCACACTGGTATGCATGGACCAACACCTCCAAACTCCCATGTACTTCTTCCTCTGCAACTTGTCTCTTCTGGAGACTTTCTTTGTCTTGACAATCTGCCCAAAGATGCTCGTCAGCCTGATTTCTTCGAACAAAGCTATTTCTTTTGGGGGATGTATTGCCCAATGCTATTTCTACTTCTCCTTGGGTACCTGTGAGTGTGTTCTTATTGCTGTGATGGCCTTTGATTGCTATGTTGCTATCTGCTACCCACTCCGTTATGTCATCATCATGAGCAAACATCTCTGTGTCTTCTTGGTTCTGGGCTGCTGGACTGGGGGATTCCTTCTCCTTCTCATTCCACTGCTCTTCCTTCTCAGTCTGTCTTTCTGTGGCTCTAACCTCCTTGACCATTATTTCTGTAACTATGCCCCAATTGTAAAGCTTTCTTGCAGCAAGAATGTCCATTTCCTTTTGGACTTTGAGATAGCTTTCTCTTTAATGGTGCTGCTCACCTCCTTATCTGTCAACGGGGTCTCCTACCTCTATATTATTTCCACTGTCCTATGGATGCATTCCACCAAAGGCCAGAAGAAGACCTTTTCCACCTGTGCTTCCCACATTACAGTAGCTACCATATTCTATGGCAGTTCCATCTTCATGTACTCCTTACCCACCAAAGGACGTTCGCAGGGTGTGCAAAAATCCATTGCACTTGTCACTGCAGTTATTACTCCATTATTGAATCCTTTTATTTACATTCTGAGAAATCAGAAGGTCAAGGATGTCTTAAAGGAGTGTCTAAAGAACTCTTTTCCATATTGAGAACCGTTTACACCAGTGGTTCTCAACCTGTGGGTCTGGACCCCATTTGGGGTCGAACGACCATTTCACGGGGGTCGCCAAACAAGGCTGTCTGCCATTTTTCCTCTTTTTCTTTGGCCACGCCCCTGGCACCCAGTGATGTATAAGTGGTTGGGGGTCACCACAACATGGGGAACTGTATTATGGGGTCATGGCATTAGAAAGGTTGAGAACCACTGGTTTACACCTATCTGCATTTAGCAAGCTTCATTTCAGGGTTGCAGAAATTGATGGAAAACTAGTTTATGCATGGATAGTATATAGGAAATTTGATTCATATTTGTAGGTCTAGTAATTTCTTTGCCTTTTTATATGTGGAATATATATATATATATATATATATATATATATATATATATATATACACACATACATACATACATATACATATACGTATGTGTATGTATATGTATATATACATATATATGTGTATATGTATATATACATATACAAATATATGTACAAAATATATTTCATTTTATATATATATATTTCATTTATATGTTTTCCTTATTTTGGTGTTCAGAACATTCTAATGACATTACTAACTTCTCAATGTATGGCAATAGAAGAGTAATTAATTTTCAATGGATCTGCATTTTAGCTATGGACATTTGTCTGCATTTTTGTATATGGACTTTTAAATTCATATATTTCATGGACTGTGTATGTTTACCTTATTCATGCATTCAGAATGACCTAACGACATTGCCAACTTCTCAGTGCATGGGAATAGACCAGCACACCAATGTAAGAAATAAAAAATATAAGAAGAGATTTCATCCGAGATCAATGGGAAGCACTGTGCTTTGGCAAATTAGTCCTCTCATCACTCCCTTCCTGGACAGCAGAGAAATTTTGGAGTATGTACACAATAATTTGTTCTGCCTCTAGTTCCGTATCCAGCATGGTAGACCATTTTTTATTCTGATTTCTACAAAAAGAAATTTATATCTACTTACAAAAATTAATGAGGTCACTGAATCAGCATGGATTTCATTTCAAGGTGACAGGTTTTGATTCTATGTGAAGATGTCATCCTAAAAACAAATTGAGTTCCTCAAGAAGCTTCACAAAACTGGCTTCAGTGCTAATGCTTAAGTAGAGAAAGTCAAATTAAAGGGGAAGAAAAAATGACTTATATACGTTAAGGCCAAAAGGTCTGATTTACAATTAAATCTTTAATGAATTTTGCATTCTTGATAGAATTTACATCTGCTGTCACTCCTTGGATCAGAATGAGAAAACCTGGGATCCAACTTAAACTGCTTGCACCACAACTCACATTTAATGTCATGGGAGACAACTTTTTCACATTCAGGAAGAAAAGCTTTTCAACCATTTTTCAACCATGAATAATTGCAGAGGTTATAATAGATATTATAGGAGTTTTCCCATTCATTATTAAGAAAGTCTGGTGGTTGGTTTTTGTTCTACTCAAAAATAAATGATGTGAAGACTTTGGTGGTTTGGTATGGTTATTTTTCTTCTCAATGAAAAAATGGTAACAAACTTGATCTTGCACGTTTTCACTATTGTCCTTTTTCATATTGGAAAATTTGTGGCTCCAAAGGTCAAAAATGGGGCACACTATGGATTTGGGGAGGGCTGAAAATATAAGATTTAGATGCAAGAAAATCTTCAGCCTTCCATCACAACCTCAAAGCAGAGATTTGATTTGTATAAATGTCTTCCTATTGCTTTCATTTGAAAAAACCTTCCCAGCAAAGAGTAAAGGAAAAAATTGTTAGTTTGCAGCCAAGCCTGCAGGGAATACACTGAAGTTGAGTTGCTCCACTCACTGTTTATATATTGCTATAAGGATAACCATAATATTAGACTCCAATAGAGATATTGATATGTTCAAGTGATCTCCTGCATTAAAAAAAATAAGTGTGTCCAATAAAGGGTAATAGAGTATAATTGGTAAATATAGAGTAAAATCGTAAAAAAACTGACTGTTGCTTCTTTAAAGATGGATTCCTTTAAAATACAATCTATATATTTCATTTTTATAAGTAGTTGATATACTATAGAATATTTGATATAGTATTCTTACTATATTGAGCCTGCAGTGTGTGGCAGGAGCCAAAAAGGCTGATACAGTCCTTGGTTGTATAAACAGAGGCATGGAATCAAAATCACGTGAAATATTAGTATTGCTTTATAAATCCTGAATAAGGCCACACCTGGAATATTGCCTCCAGTTCTGGTCACCACGTTACAAAAAAGATGCTGAGACTTTGGGAAAAAAATGCAGAGAAGAGCAACTGAGATGATTAAAGGCTTGGAGACAAAAACATGAAGAACAGTTGCAAGAATTGAGTAGGCCAATCTAGAGAAAAGGATTATGAGTGACATGATAGCAATATTTCATTATTGAGGGACTGCCACAAAGAAGAGGGCTCAACTTAATTTCCAAAGTACCAGAAGGCAAGAAAAGAAACAATGGATAGAAACTAATCAAGGAGAGAGGCAACCTGGAATTAAGGAACAAAATTCTAACCAGTGGAACTGTTTGTCTTCAGAGGTTGTAGGTGCTTCACCACTGGAGTTTTTTAAGAAGAGACTGGCCAATCACCTATGAAATGATATAGGGTCTCCTGAGCAGGGGTTGGACTAGAAGATCTACCATGTTTTCCCCAAAATAAGATCCAGTCTTATATATTTTTTGCCTCCAAAAAAGGCACCAGGTCTTATTTTCAGGGGATGTCTTACTTTAGGATTGCCACAGCCAGGCCTTCAACACCCTGACACCTGTCGCACTGCTGCTTGACTTCTTTAGTGGCTGCTTGCTGCTGCTTGTGGCCAGACGCCACGTGGCACATAGCAGTGGTGCCGCTGCTGATAGCAGGAGGCCGCGTGGTGCTTCGGGCTGGTGTGAGTGGCACCAGCCTGAAGTGCGATGCGGCCTCCTGCCATGTTACCAGCCATGCAGCTACAAGCAGCCACAGAAGAACTCAGGCAGTTGCAAGATAGCTGTCGGGGCATGGGAGGTCTGGCTGCAGCGGTCCTACTGGTAAGGTAAGTAGGTGTGGGGTGCGTGGGGCAGCTCTACCCTTTCACTCTTTCTCTAGCTTGATTTGTGTCCCTTGTCCCCAAACTAGGGCTTATTTTGGGGGTAGGTCTTACTTTTGAGGAAACACAGTACTAGGTCCCTTTCAGCTCTATTCTCTATTCTGATTATTTTGGAAAATAATAAGTTTGTCAGTGTGTCTCTGTGTGTAACAGAATAACAGAGTTGGAAGGGACCTTGGAGGTCATCTAGTCCAACCCCCTGCAAGAAACCCTATACCATTTCAGACAAATAGTTGTCCAACCTCTTCTTAAAAACCTCTAATGTTCCAGTTACCATTTGAAAAAGCACCTTTGGGATTATTCTGTTGAAATGACATATCTATTGAACCAAGGCCAGCCAAAGCACGGGGGAAATTACCTATCCCTATAACATAATGAGATGACACCATTTTTGCACTCTGTGCTTCAAAAACTAACAAACCCTAGGTTGTGGTTTATAAATCACAGCAGTTGATGTGATTTATCACAGATGTGAAGGCAGAACGAAACCACAACCAAACTTGGTGTGTGGCATGAGAGAGGGGAAAATAAAGTGCCCTACACAAGGAATGTGCACACAATGATTTTCCCTGTCTTTGGGTTTGACATCAATAGAGGAAGAAGTTATAGAAAACCTGATACAGATTCCCCTGCAATGCATTTTATTACTGCTTGAGGAGGTTCTGAGGGAGCTTTGCAAGCCAATCCTGTATACCTCTTACACCACATGCTTCAAAACAATAACAAGCTCCATGGTTTATAAGAAGTTACTTCTATGCTCAATGCTGTGAAAAAATATGTATGTATGTATGCAGAAAAATTGTCCTCTGTATATCTGTGACCCAAGAATCTTCTGAAAGGCACTCTGGACGGTGAATGTTCTCTTTTCCCAAATTTGAATTAGGGAGTAAAGTTTTGATGAATGCTCTTTCCTTGTTTTTTATTTATTGATATATTCAACCCAGTCTAATAAACTAGAGGATGATTTTACTGAAGATAGCATAAGGTTCACAAAATCTGCATGAATATTTTAATATAAATTGGAAACGGTGAGTATTTTGGAAATGTTTCAATTCTTGGGTCAAGAACATTGAGGTTTACTTCTGCTCTGAATATCAAGACCGTGACTGCAGAGTTTCAGATTTTTGCAGTAGGTAAAGGCTTTTTAATGTGTGATGTTTAGGATGCGTTTAGAAACAAAACTCAAGCCCATTTTGTTTTCCTCCTATAATTCATCATAGGAGAATATGCCCTGCAGAACCCATTAGAACTTACTTCTGAATCAAGTCTCTTTTGATCCTAGTTTATAAGCGTGCAGGTTGTATTTGCCTGGCTGACAAATCTGGATGATGAATATTTTGTCAGAGAGTTAATTAGTCTGAAATTTCCCTGAATAAGCTTTATGTTGAATTCATCTCCCCACTTTACCCTCATGGCAAAATGCTAAGGAGATGTTAACCAGCACAAAGGTGTTGTCCTAGAGTGAACTTCCAAAAGGGACATTTAACAATTAGCAAGTAACCTATTTGCCTTCAGAAGTTCTGGCTGGTCCATCACTGGAGGCTTTTAAGAAGAGGCAGGAGACCCACTTGTGTGGCATGGTATAGGGTCTCCTGCTTCGGACAGGTTGAACTTAAAGACCTCCAAGGATTCTTCCTACTCTATTCTTCTCTATTTCTGTATTATCTCTGTTACTATGGATCCTCTTGTAGACCCAAGAAGGGAGGATCATTGGGAAGAAACAAGGGACTGATGAATTTTCTACTGTGTCTACAATGGAGAGACACATAATGTGAACACTTAGCTTTCCAGAGAAGGATCTAATGCTCAGAAAAATGAAAGGAATCAACAGAATAGGACAATCAGCAGTAAGGTGGACAGGCTCAGTTCCAGCAATGATGAACGTATTATTGGAAGACTTGAAGGACTAGGTTAAAGACAGATCTTCTGTTCAGTAGGAGTTGGAAATGATTTGATAATTAATCTATATTGGACATCTTTCCAATTTGGTAATACAGTATTCTTTTTTCTTTTATTCCCCATCTTTCTTCCTTATTCAACAATTATCCAAAATTGTGACTGGAGCTGTCACCCTTGTTCAAGGAAGTTCTCAAAAATTATTCCTCTTTAAGCGAGATTCATCATTTTCTGCTAGTGCAACAGGATAAGTCTTAAACCCAGAGAAGCTGCTAAGCGGTCCAAGTATGTTTTCTGAATGCAGCTCCATTGAGAAGAATGATAGGATCATCTTTTCTTCAGGACTTGAAACATTATCAATTTGAAACACAAGGTTAGTAGCAATAACTACTTTAGCATAGTATTGGTAGAAAGCTGTTCAATATTCATTGACCATTATAGAAGATATAAAATTACTGTAAGACTTTTTTCTCAGAAATACTACAGCTCCATTAGCACTTAGATTATATACAGTGCTTTATTGCCCTCTCTAAGCAGAATTTTCTTCTGACAGAAAGAGAAAAATGACTTTTCTCAGGTGAGATGGGAAGAGAGCATTGAGCAAATATAAAATAATCAGTTACTTTAACCATGCAAAAATAGATTTTTTTTTCCTGACTCCAAGTATGACTTATTTTGGACAGGTGAGAACACAGTGTGGTTTCCTGTACGCTCTTAGGCTGATGACTACAAGTACCTTGATCTGATTCAAACCATCATTTATTACTTATGTCAGAGACCAACCATTTGATGGTCTACAGAGAATTAAAGCTGGTGAAATTGTGTTCATTTGTAATGGGCAACTGAAACAAAATTGAAGTTGGAATAATCTCTTCTCACTTCACTCTTTTTTTAGGAATGAACTAAATGGAAAACAGCACCACAGTGAGGGAATTCATATTGTTAGGGCTGACTAACAACCAACAAATTGCTGTTGGCCTTTTTCTCATCCTGCTTGGGATTTATATTTTGACATTGATAGGAAACATGTTGATTATTATTATCACATTGCTGAATGCCCAACTCTGTAGTCCAATGTATTTCTTCCTCCGACATATGGCTTGGATAGAGATTGGGTATGTAAGTAGCATCATTCCTAAAACACTGGCCAACATAGCCACTGGTAACAAGAGTATCTCTTTAGCTGGTTGCTTCGTACAGATGTTCCTCTATTTTGTTCTTGGCACCACTTTATTCCTTCTAGTGGCCACAATGTCTGTTGATCGCTACATAGCCATCTGTAACCCTCTTCATTACACAACCATCATGAATGAACAAATCTGCTCATTATTGGTACTTTGTTGCTGGATTGGGAGTTTGTCACTAATTCTAGTTCCATCTATTCTTTTCTTTCAAATGCCATTTTGTGGTCCTAACATCATCAATCATTTCTTTTGTGACAATGGAGCACTAATCAAACTCTCATGTGTTGATACCAGTCTCCTAGAACTGATTAATTTTGTGATTGCCACATTCTCTCTGCTTGGGACCTTAAGTGTCAACATTGTGTCTTATGTCAAAATCATTTCCACGATTTTGCGCATCCCATCAACTACAGGGAGGAAGAAGACATTCTCCACCTGTGCATCTCACATGACTGTGGTCTCCATCACTTACAGCAGTTGTCTTTTCATGTACATAAGACCCAAAGGCAGCAGCAAATTAGATTTCAACAAAATGATAGCTCTTCTGAATACTGTCATGGTTCCACTTTTGACCCCGTTCATATATTGTTTGAGGAACAGACAAGTGCAGGATGCTTTGAGGACTGAACTGAGACAATGGATTGAGTTTTGCAAGAAATTGAAGTGATTTGTTATAGATGTGACCTTGAATCAGATTTTAAAGTTCAACTTCTGCTTTGTTAAGTTATAGCATGTGCTGCTTTCAGATGTAATGATCACACACTGAGGTGGTTTACAACAGGACATGGTAATCAGGAAGCCAAACATCTGATAATCCCCAACAAAATAAAGCACAATATATCAGGAACATGCACACAATATTTTGTTCTGTCTTTGGATTCGATATCTACAGAGGAAACTGAAAGAAAATGCTTGATAGACATTTCTTGCAATTTGCAATAGGTTTCTTTGATCCTCGAGAAGGCCCTGTGGGATCTTCACAGTTAGTCTCGAATACATGTTGCGCATTATGCTTTAAAACTGTAACTAGCTTCATTGTTTATAAGAGGCGGCTTCCATGTTCATTGCCCTGAAGAGATATGGAAGAAGAAGGCAGCAAAACTGCACAGCAGGTACATCTGAGAATGGAGAAAGTTATGCTTCCCAAACATTGAATTAAGGGGTAACATTTTAACAGATGCATTTGCTTTGCACCATTTCACAATCTAGAAAAATGACTCTTACTCACAGAAAATTGCAAGACCATAGCCTAGAGACCATGAACAATTTCTGAATCTGTTTTGTGTATATTGTATGTGATGAAAATACTGCCTGCCAAATATAAACTAATGAGAAAAAATGATATACATTATTGCTTTGCCTCTGATTTGTAACATTATTAAACATATCCTCTAGGAAACACTCTGTGTTTTAGCTGAGAGAGCCAGTGTTGTCAAAAAAAACAAAACAAAACAAACAAACAAACAAAAAAAACCTCTTTCGTGGTCATGCGGCCAGCATGACTATATGCTGAGGGACACAAAATGCTTCTCCCTTCCTATCAAAGTGGTACCTATTTATCTACTCACATTTCTATGCTTTAGAACTGCTAGGTGGGCAAGAGCTGCAGCAAATTATGAGAGATCAACCTGTTGCACAGCATTCAGGTCTCAAATGTAGGCTGTCAGTTTTCCAGCTAACAAGCTGAGCATCTTTAACTGCTGAGGCATCATGCCCTCTTTCAAAAATACACTTCCCTTCTACTGTCCAATATTCAATAGTGGTGAATATCTGTGTCAGACCATCCTATTTGAGCTTCTCCGCAAGTAAGCCAGTAAACAGGAACGTGGAGACCACCAATAGCTTTATTGCGATATTGGAAATAAAATTAGCACTGGAAGTGGCTTGCTCCCAGCTTCTTATATATCATCCACGCACTCCACCCTAAAGCTGCCTGACCCCACCCTAGCACCCGAGCACCCTGCCTGGCCCCACCCTAGCACCCTGCCTGTCTCCACCCTAGCACCCTAGCCACCATCCACTCTCCGAGCACCAGCCCCACCCACTAGTGTCTCCATCTTGGTCCTACTCTCAAGGGGGGTTTGCCATCAGTGCGAACACCACCTGCGGTCCGCTGCGGCCCACCGACCCATCGCGGCCCCTTGGAACAAGCTGGTTCCACATGGAAGGTTGTCGGCCCAGCGAGGTGTTTCTCTGTGGTGTTTCTCTATAGCCACAGCCCTTTGTTACAGCCAGGTGCACCTTGATGACATCATCATGGTCAGACGCGTCACGCCAGCAGTCCCCGACAGGAGACCAACAGCAGCAACACCGGCAGCAGCATTGCATCGGAGCAGGTAACCAAGGCCTTGTCAGATGGTGAACTAACATTGGCTCCGACCAGGCCAAATGCGACTAGGCCTCGCAGGGCACGACATTCAGCTCCCCTTACCAGGAGTCCCCCTGGAAGGAAGCACAACACGGTTAGAAGCCCCCTGATTACTGAGCCCCGGTGTCCCGCCTGCCCGGCCTACCGGGATGGGTTTGATGATATCTGCTTATAAGTCGGGGAGCAGAAACATCTCTAGCCTCCACCCAGGATGCCTCGGATAGAGGATACTCTTTCCACAGGACAAGGTAGTACAACTGACTCCTCCTTACTCTTGAATCCAGAATTTCCTGTACTTCATATCTGCCTGGGGTGACTGGGACTGGCCCTTCTTGTATGGCCTCAGCCGCCACTGGCTTTAACAAACTGACATGAAACATCAGGTATATTTTACCCAGGAATCGCCGTAGTCGTAATCGTACGGCTACCGGGTTGATGATTTTGGGTCACCCTGAAGGAACCAATATACTTAGGGGCTAGTTTCCTACATGGCACCTGGAGGTTTATGTATTTTGTTGACAAATAAACCAGGTCACCCATTTTGAACGGTGTTTCAGTTCTACGTTTTTCATCTGCTTGTTTCTTGGCCACTTCCCCTGCTTTTGTCAGTGCTCTTTTGACTACATCCCACACCCCCTTTACGTGGTTGTACCAGTCATCGACCTTACAGGGTTGGGGCTCCTGGGTTCTGCACTCCGGTATTGGTACGAATTCCCTACCGTACACCACCTGGAAAGGGGTGAATCCAGTGCTGCTATGTACAGCATTATTGTATGCCATCTCCACAAATACTACCAGATCCACCTAATCCATCTGTTGGTATGAGATGTAACTTAGGAGTTATCACTCAACTGCAGCATTAGCTCATTCTGCTGCACCATTGGTGCTTGGATGATAGGCTGAACTAAGACCTTGGGTGGAGCCGAGGAACCGGATGAATTCATGCCAAAAATGTGCTGTGAATTGAACTCCGCGGTCTGAGATTATGCGATGTGGTGTCCGGTGGAGTCGATATACATGGGTCAGAAATATTTTTGCTAACTTTCTGGCTGACGATAATCCTTTACAGGGAATGAAATGGGCTTGTTTGGAAAACAAATCTCCTATGGTCCATATCACCGTGTACCCTCGAACCTTAGGCAGCTCCACAATGAAGTCCATGGCTATATCTTGCCATGGACGGTCCGGGTCTACGACAGGCTGAAGCAACCCGATCGGCTTCCCGGGATATGGTTTTCACTGAGTGCACACATGACAATCATTTACATATGTCTAAATATCCCGCCTCATCCGGGGCCACAAGAACTGACGTCTGGCTAGATGTAAGGTTTTTAAAAATCCAAAGTGAGCCGCTTGTTTCGAGTCATGGCACCAGTGACAAACCCGTTTTCGCATTTCTTTTGGTATGTATAGTTTATTGCTATACCATGCCAATCCGTCCCTTTGAGTTAGCAAGCCAGGATTGTCCCACAGCCACATATCCTGTACTAGTGCCGCTCTCAAATCATCCTCAAAAGACCCCACCTTGGTGCAAGTATGTACCCCAGGTTGGTCATATGTAGGCAGGATTGCTTGCACTACCTCAACTCTTTTACTGTCATATTGTGGGAGTCGGGACAAAGCATCAGCGAGGAAATTCTTACCCCTGACACATATTTGAGGTGAAAGCAAAATCTTCTGAAATATTGTGCCCAACACACATGCTTCGATGACAGACGCCTAGGGGTTTGCAATACTTCCAAGTTCTTATGGTCAGTCCAGACCTCAAACGGATATTTAGCTCCCTCCAGCAGATGTTGCCAAGTGGAGAGAGCTCACCGTATACCAAATGCCTCCTTCTCCCAGATAGCCCTTGCTCTCTCCATCTCTGTCAACTTGAGGGAGGTATACGCACAGAGCTGCTGTTTCCCTTGACTGTTCACTTGGAGTAACACAGCCCCCACACCAACATCACTAGCATCAGCCTGTACTACAAATGGTTGTTCTGGATCTGGGTGCAACAACACAGGCTCTTGTGCAAACAATGCCTTCAGTGTTTGAAAAGCTTTTTGACAGTGAGTTGTCCCGGCCAAGGCCTGTCCAGGACAAGGTTTTGTTTTACAGGACCGAGTGCATAATAAATTTGTTATCAATTATCAATTATTCTCTTACTAATAAAGGAGAAAATTTGTAGCTCAGTGTTGACATGAGGGATCCTTGGTGCTCTCTGAGCTTGCTTGTTTCCTTGCAGACATTTCATTACCCAAACTAGGTAACATCATCATCAGTGCTAGTAAGGAGTGGGGTTTGCTGTCAGTTTATATTCTAGACTAGCTTTGCTGGCTGAGGAATTCTGGGAGTTGAAGTCCACACGTCTTAAAGTTGCCATGCCACTTGTGGACTTCAAGTCCCAGAATTCCTCAGTCATTAGATGTTGTTAATGTCTATGTGTCTATTAAAAAGACATTAACAAGCACCTCTCCACCAGCAACCAGCACCCAGATCAGCATAGATTAACTCCAATGTTAACATCAGACCAATAATCAAGTAAACAATATCCCAAGTATTACTAGGTAACTGAGCAGGTTACCTAGTTTGGGTAATGAAATGTCTGCAAGAAAATGAACAAGCTCAGAGAGCACCAAGGACCCCTCAAGTATTCTGTATCTGCTGCCTTTATTGATGTCAAACACAAAGACAGAGAAAATCATTGTGCTCATGTTCCTCATACTTTGTGCTTTGTTTTGTTCTCTGTCATGTAACATACTAAGTTTTGTTGTGGTTTGCTTTTGACTTAACCTCTATGAACCCAACCTCTGTGATATGTAACTATGGTACAGGCTTTGTTACTTTTTGAAGCACACAGTGCAAAAGGTGTTAGCAAATTCAGGATGGGATTGGGTGGATTAAAATGATATTGGGTTAGGTTGGATTGGATTGAATTGAAAGTTGGTTATAAGATGGGTGGCTATGTAAACGTTTTAAGTAAATAATTAGGCTGTATTTAAAACCAAATTATTTTTCTAGTTGAATGCAACTTTTCCTCTTGACCATTCATGATGCTCAATCTCACCCTCCCACTTCTTTCTGTGGAGGAGTTATTGTGGGAATTAGGTGCTTCTGCTAAAACACGTAATTCCCACAATAATGTCTTATGTCTAAAGATATAGTTTATCTTTTCTATTACATTCTATTATGGGTGTCTTATGATTAGATTACTTTGTTATTTGTATGTACATTGAGAGTTTATGCACCAGAGACAAATTCCTTGTGTGTCCGATAAAACGTTGCCAACAAAGCTATTCTGTTCTGTTCATCTGACGATGTGGCTGGTGGGTCCTTTTCTTATAAAGCTAGGAAATAGTGGTAGAATAGCTGTCACATGAAGCATTGGGACATTCCTGCTTTAGGGAGGGGGGACATGATTGGAGAAATAATGAAAAGAAGTGATGTGTTGAATCATAGGTAGTATATAATCCATCTGGAATGTCCAACATATGTAGGAAATACGTCACCTTTTCTCCACTAGAACCATGCTGTGATGACTCAAAGGTCATTGATCTGTATCCAGACACAACACCTTACTTATTTCCTCCCAGCTTCCATAGTTTCATACCTCTAAATATACATCATCATTTCTTTATATCATTTCTGTTCTGTTCCCAGTTTGCAAATATTTCTCATATAAGACTTAAATTATAATTAGGAAACAAATCAATTTATGTCAGCTGGTTTTTTTTCTTAAATACTATTGATACTGCAACCCAAAATGATTTTTTTTCAAAAGGATGATGTGACAGTTTCACATTATGTGGGTGAAAATAATTCTGTTCCTTGCATACTTACACATATATTTGAAACTACATCACCAGTTACATTACTCTAATAGTAACTTAGAAATTAAAAGCCAAGAAGGTGAAAGATCAAACAAGAGTGCTGAGATCTAAGGAACAGCCAAGCAAGAATTCTAGTCCCAACAGAGGAGAATTTCAGTGCTAGTCTTCATTCAAGATCATGATTACAACCAGAAATAGAAATGCAACAATTTCAAAGCATCAAAATGTACACAGATTGTTTCCAAGTCCTGAACAATCCATCATAATATAAAAACCACCTTTCACAAAATTTAACTCTGATGTAACTGTGGCCATACCCATGCTATTCTTCTAGTAGCAGCACAGAAGCCCTTTTTTCACTGTGCTCTTCTGGAATGTATTTTTGAGATCCCAATCTAGACTACAGCAGTAGGTGATAGTTCTCTTATCCATGTATCAACAAACTCCAACTCTATGTTGATTTGTTTGAGATCAGCCAAGGTTGGCTAAGTGTTTCCAATGGTTTCTTCTCACAAAATACGTTTGTGCCTTTGTAAACAGTCTCGCAAAGCATCTTTGACCTTCTCATTCCTCAAAGTGTAAATAAAAGGGTTCAGTAATGGGGTGACCACAGCAGTTAGAACTGCCACAGCTTTCTGGGCATCCCGAGAATGACCCTTGCTGGGCAAAGAGTACATGAAGATGGCACTGCCGTAGAAGATGGAAGCGACAGTTAGATGAGAGGCACAGGTTGAAAAAGTCTTCCCACGGCTGCCACTGATCTGCATGCTCAAGACAGTCACAATTATGTAGAGATAAGAGACGACAGTTACACACAAAGAGCTGAGTAACACCAGAGGAGAGAGGGTAGATTCCAGAGTCAGGAGAGTATCTACATCATTGCAAGAAAGCTTTATCAGTGGAGCATAGTCACAGAAGAAATGATCAATAACGTTAGAGCTGCAGAAGGACAGTTGGCTCAGGAGAACAATGGGGCCAAAATTATTCATGAAAGCACCAATCCAGCACACCAATATCAAATTCACACAAACCCGTCCATTCATGATGATCGTGTAGCGCAACGGATGACAGATAGCAATGTAGCAGTCAAAGGCCATTACGGCAATCAGGATGATTTCACAGGTACCAAAGAAGAAATAAGAATAGCATTGACTGATGCAGCCCAAGAAAGAGATAGATTTGTTCTGAGAAACTAAATCCATCATCATCTTTGGTGTGATTGTCAGAACAAAAAATATCTCCAAAAAGGAGAGGTTGAAAAGGAAGAAATACATGGGGGTTTTCAAGTGTTGGTCTATGCATACCAGAGTGATAATCATGAGGTTTCCAGCTAAGGTGAAGAAAAACACAACCAGAAGCAATGAAAAAAGGAAGAATTCCATGGGCCTAGGTAGTTGGAAGCCAATTAAGATGAATTCTGTCACTTGTGTTGTGCTGTTCTGAGTCCTAGTTCTCATTGCGAATTTGCTGGTGGAGATAAATCAAACAAAGTAACAAACCACTTCAGATTGGTGTAATTAGAAAATATATATTTTGCCTTCTTCTCTTAAGTCCCAAGTTCAAAACTGGAGACCTCTCATGAAAAATCTCCCCAGCCTTCTGAAGTCAAGAGATCATGCCTCTTCTGATAGAAATGTACCAGCACTGAAATGACTTCTCTCAAGGAGGAGAAACTGAGAATGGATGGTCAACTTTTCTTCAAAATATAACTCTGCAAAAGAAGATATTTTGTTTGGATCATTGTTTTTCAGTCACTGTGTGTGGTTTTTAATAAAAGAAGAACTTGTTTTTATGGAGGAAGGTGGCATTGCTGCTATTATGTGATATTCACTCAAATTATTCTTTCCCATATTTCATGACCAAAGACTGTCTATAAAATTAATGCCTTTATAGAGAAGTATATGAAGATACTTCTTTTTATGTAAGTATATAAAGATACAGTACTGTATATAAACCTCTTGCCACAAACTAGAAGAAGTCAAGCTATTCTCCAAAACACCTGAGGACAGGACAAGGGGCAATGGATGGAAATTAATCAAGGAGAGAAGCACCCTAGAACTAAGGAGAAACTTCTGACAGTTAAAACAATTAATCTGTGGAACAACCTGCCTCCAGAAGTTGTGAATGCACCAACACTGAAAGTTTTAAAGAAGAGATTACACAACTATTTTTCTGAAATGGTATAGGGTTTCCTGCCTGAGCTGGTGGTTGGGCTATATGACCTCCACGGTCCCTTCCAACTCTATTCTATTCTATTCTATTCTATTCTATTCTATTCTATTCTATTCTATTCTATTCTATTCTATTCTATTTCACTCCACTCCACTCCATTAAACACTGAGAGCTTCTACACCAGAGATAAATCAAACTTGGCCAAGTAAAGTATTCTTTAAGTAAGTATATTCAACAAAATATGTAGAACTCAAAACCACACTAGGGGAACATTAAGAGAACCATGTGGGAACTCTTTTAACTTACCACAAGTGGCTTTCAGTTCTTCTATTGGTACAGGTAAAACACACTGACCATAAAAGACATTTCTTTTAAGTCATGCAGAGCTTGCAATAATATGATGAAATCTCTTGGGTGACATTGATGTGAAAATAACCATGCCCTCCTGTACTATCTTCTATCAATGGAGTTTTGCATCTTTCTATTTAATGCTGTCGGTTATGCCTTCTTGATTGACAGGCAGAATGATGCCTTCATTTAAGGCTTTTCTTCAGGCATGTATTTACTGAAGTCTATGTCTTCTGGAAGGAAGAACCCAACTGGTTCTCTGGAAGTGAAATTCTATATTATAAATCAATTTAACCATGAAAACATAATTGCTGAGGTTCTATGAATGACTCTCATCATCTGTGCTACTTCACATAGCATACTGGAAGGTATAGATTTCTGAATTATCATGGATAATGAGGCTGTGCTGCTTATAATACCACTGACAGGTAGAGTTAGAAGCCATTGAGGACAAATGTGAACTAGAATTCTCCTTTTCTCAGTTTAAGGTCCTAGACCTTATAGCTCTTCCTGTGATTTCCTATTGGCCATACCTGATTTAAGTGATGGGAGGAAAAGGTCATAATTCCTGATGGCTTCCTTTTGCTACCTCTGAATCATGCATAGACAATTGCACAATACATACTGTATCTGAAAACATCACAAAAATCCTTCCCATAAAGTGTACATGAATTGGGAGAAACTAATGGCCCCAAGAATGAAACTTTGGGATGATCATCAGTGAGAGGTCTAGCTTGCATCTGGAAGAAGAAAAGAAGTAGTAGCTTCTATTTTCATCTCCACATCCCAAACTTTCAGCAGGAAGACCTCACGTGGTCACTTCCAATTCAGTCTTCTTTAGACTGGCATTCTGATGGCTGTGCCTACACATATGTTTTTATTTTCCTCCATCCTGTGACACTTTTCCCCATAAATATACTCAGCATATGATTAATTCCAAGGCAGCAATATCCCTCTTTAACAATCAGTTAAATAAATCAGCATTTAAAAAATATAAGTTGAGATATGCCCTTGGAGACATTTGTTAATAGGTTCTCCAGAGAGTAAAGTTTGTAAGTAAATGTATTCATTCTGGTGGCATCAAACTTTAATGATATTAGGCCTGGTTTTCTGATCTTGCAGTGCATATGGTCATAATATTTTCACCACTGGGAATCGTGTCAATCATTGTAGCATTCACATAATTTTTGAGATCCTTATGCCATTTTATCATCTTATTTATGCTTTGCTTATTTTGCTTAGTTCTGTAAGCAAAATCACCACAGTTTAAAAATATAGAAATAGCATTTACTTCTCTCGATTGTTAAACTATGTCCCTTTTTCTTTCAAATCAGAGGCTAAGCACAAACATCTGTTAAAATATTACCCCTTTAATTCAGTTTGTTGAGAAGCATGGCATTTTCTATTCTTAGTACTTTGAGGAGATGTCTTGTCTTCTTGGCTCACATATGTAGCCCCTATGCAGTTTTGCTGCCTTTTTCTTTTATACCTTTTCATGACAATGAAGATGGAAGCAACCTCTCATAAACAATAGAGCTAGTTACTGTTTTGAAGCAGCTAGCTATCAAATTTTGCTTCTTAAGTTATTTTTCGGATGCAAAATATTTTTCGCTCCTTGCAATCTACATAAAAGCCATTTTCTATTTGGTTAATCTATGTATCGTTATGCCTACAATTCAAATTCAATGTTTGGGAGGCATAGCATTCTCCATTCGCAGGGCTTTTTAAAAGAAGCCTTGTCTTCTTCGCTCATGGATGTACCCCTTCTGCAATATCTCAGCCAACATCTTTAATATCTTTCCATAGCAATGAACACAGAAACAACATCTTATATTCAATAGAGCTAGTTACAGTTCTGAAGCATGTGGTATAAGAAGAATTCAAGACTGACTTGTGAAGATCCCTCAGGGACATCTAAGTGAAAAGAAATGTATTGCAAGGAATCTGTATCAAGTATTCTGTATCTCCCTCTATTGTTGATGTCAAACCCAAAGACAGAGAAGACCATTGTGTGCATCTTCCAAGGGATGTCTTCACTTCAGTTGAGGATTTATTTGATTAGCCATTCAATTCAGATCTAATAACACAAATCAGTTCTCTCTCAATCAATTTTGAGTATTTCAAGCACACATTAACAAAACTCATTGAAAACGGTGGGAATCAAATGGACTTGGCCATGTCTAATTCCATTGGCCATTGGTAATAAAACTGAGCCTCCCAGTGGGACAGTGAATTCAGAAAGAAATTATTTGAGGGAGAATTCCAAAGCATCACAAAACATTATCAGACTTGGACGTCAATGTCTATTTCTGATCTGGACTCATATTTCTTTTATTTATGGTAACTGTAGTTTTGCTTGCATTCTGAGACATTCAAGAACTTCCCTCTGCTTTCAACCTTTGCTAGATATTTGGATACCCAAAATGTTTATAAATGAGAACTATGAGTCATATTGATCAAGATAAAGGAAGGGAGGTCTTGTCTACCATCTTTCTCCAATATCCAAATGCAACTTTGCATGAATTCTTGATAGGTCTTGAGAAATAAGATGCTATAATTTAAAAAGTCCTTATTCTTGTGGTTTGGATTGAAGTAACCAACAAAACCGCTTAATTAGATACTTGTTTTATTCATTTTATTTATTAAACCAAATTTACTGCCCACCTCACATTAAGGTGACTATGAGAACCTTACAACCATTAATTTCTATATTGGCAACATTCTGTAGCTCTAGATCTCATGTTTCATGCCTTTACTATGTATTTTCTGTTACATTCAGCTTTATCAATGTGAGCATTGCCTGCTGATATTCTATAATCAAAGGGAGCATTGCCTGCTGATATTCTATAATCAATGGGAGAATTGCCTGCTGATATTCTATAATCACTGAGCTTCATTCTCCACTTCAGTTATTCTACTCTGTGATAAACATCAAGAGGGATAGCTACATTCACTAGTATTGACTCTCATAAATAAACCAAAACCAAATATCTTATTGTACTGTATTGTATTGCATATGATCCACACAGAGTGCCAACTAATAAAACATACTTTAACCCGAGAAACAGTCAGGAGATGGTGGCTGTATGGTCTGCTTCTGAAGATGGTAAGAGCTTTGAGGATGCATTAGGTGAAGCTCTCATATCTCCTAGGTCACATAATGTGCAACCAGATGTGTTTTGTAAATGGACAACCAGGAGAGATGGGCAATTGTCTTTTTCCATTGTTCTTCACTAGCAAACCAATTTTTTCAGGGATTCGGCCTTTGATGTCAATCAGATGTTTCCATTCTTGATTATCCCATCCTCTATGCCAGTGACAGCAAAACGTTTAGAGACCGAGTGCCCAAACTGCAACCCAAAACTCACTTATTTATTGCAAAGTGCCAACACCACAATTTAATCTGAATACTGAGGTTTTAGTTTAGAAAAAACAACTCATAGATTAACATCTTTTGTCTTAAAAGAAAAACACCATAACAAAGCTTTCAATGATACAAACAACTTTTTATTGAAAGGTAAACAGTTTGCATTAGGCATGCTTTTGAACCATTAATGTGATTTTTGTTGTTGTAAGCATGCTGATAATTTCTCTAACCTTGGCTTATATTTTGTAAGTTTGAAAGCAACGTATGCCGCACTCAGGTCATCTGTTAGTCTGTTTCTGGTGTCAGATTTGATATAATTCAAAGCTGAAAAGAGCACGCTCACTCCAGAGGCTTGTTTTGGCTACAAAGGGGCTTGAGAAATGGCTTTTTTCCTGCAAAAACCTAGCCAAACAGTGAGGCATGCATGCCCATAGAGAGAGTTCTGAGTGTCCCCTCTGGCATGCATGCCATAGGTTTGCCACCACTACTCTATGCTTTCTCTAATCCCCTTGAAAGACCATCTCAATGGGTAATTATTACATCTGAAGGCAGCACAATCCATTCAAAGACATTAAATCTGAACATCTTTTTTGGAGCCCTAGCAATAGCCAATCATCTCATTGTTTTGCAAAACCAATCCTTTGTCTCAGTTCAGCCTTCAAAGCATCCTGCACTTGTCTGTTCCTCAAAGAGTATGCAATTGGGATGAGAAAGGGAGCAATAACAGTATTCAGAAGAGCCACTATTTTGTTGTACTCTAATCCAACGGTGCCTTTTGGCTTGATATATATGAAAATACAACTGCTGTAAGTGATAGTGACCACTGTCATGTGAGAAGCAAAAGTGGAGAAGGTCTTCTTCCTACCAGTAGCTGATGGAATACGCAGAATCGTGGAAATGATTTTGACATAAGAGACAATGTTGACAGTTAAGGTCCCAAGCAGAATGAATATAGTAACTACAAAAAAAGTCATTTCTAGGAAGCTGGTGTCAATACATACCAGCTTCATTAGGGGTCCATAGTCACAAAAAAAATGATTCATGACGTTAGGACCACAAAATGGCATAAGAAATAAAGGAATGGATATAACTAGAATTAGTGATAAACCCCCAACCAAACAAGAAAATACTAATAATGAGCAGATTCGGGGATTCATGATGGTTGTGTAGTGAAGAGGGTTGCAGATGGCAATGTAGCGATCAACAGACATTGTAGCCAGTAGGAAGAACGCAGTGGTGCCAAGGACCAAATAAAGAAATACCTGTATGAAGCAACCAGCTAAAGAGATGCTCTTAGTACTAGTAGCTATGTTGACCAGTGCTTTGGGAATTATAGTACTCATATACCCAAGATCTACCCATGCCAAATGTCGGAGGAAGAAATACATTGGGCTACAGAGTTGAACATTCACCATTGTGATAATAACAATCAGTGTGTTTCCTATTAATGTCAAAAGATAAGTCCCAAGCAGGAGGAGAAAAAGGCTAACTTCAAGTGGAGGGTTGGCATTCAGCCCCAACAGTATGAATTCCTTTATTGTGGACCTATTTGCCATTAGTTCATTGCTAAAAACAGAGTGAAGATATTAATTTCCAGATCCCCATTCTTCTTTTAATTGCATGATTCAAATAAGCATCAGCTTATCTCTTTCCATTCTTTGCATTAAAAATCAAAGAGAAGTTAAAAACCTTATGCTTTGAATCAGACCACGATTCTTCTAATATGTTATTCCAAACAGAGCAATTCTTCACTGTAGTCTGCTTCTGAGTGAGGTTAATCCAAGTGGAGCTACAAGGGACCCCTCCATGTTTCAGCCTGTCAAAAACAATTCATCCTTGTGGACGTGCAAAGAACTGTTTCTGGATGATGATATTTTGGTTATCTCACCTTTGCTCAATGTTCTCCAGACTGTTCTTCTGAGATGGGTTCAAATTCTCTTTCAATATTTTTTACCTAAAATCAATGAGAACATATGAACGTTAACAGAATCAATGTGAACAGATAAAGATGATTTGGGGGCTGAAGGTTAAAATGCATACAGGAACTGGGTACATCTAGTCTAATGAAAAGAAGGACTAGGGATGACATGATAGCAGGGTTCCAATATTTAAGGGCTACCACACACAAGTGGGGGGTCAAGCTATTCTCCAAAGCACCAGAAGGCAAGACAAGAAACTATGAATGCAAACTGAACAAAGAGAGAAGTAACCTAGAACTAAGGAGAATTTCTTGACAGTGAAAAAATAATAATCAGTGGAGAACTTGCCTCCAGAAGTTATTATACTCCAGTACTGAAAAAAAGTATTGGAAAAAAAGGAACTATCAAATTTTATTCCCTTATTTTTGATGCCTAACATTTTCACCCCTTGCAATCTACATATAAAAGTATTCATATCATTGTTATGATGTTATGCTTTTGTCTCATTTTAATTTCTGCTGGTAGAAGCCATTTTGTACATGGTTAAAGTGTGTTTCATTATCCCTACAAATCAGAGGCAATACATACTGTATCTGAAAACATCACAAGAATCCTTCTCATAAGGTGTACATAAACTGGGAGAAACTAGTGGCCCCAAGAATGAAACTTTGGGATGATCATCAGTGAGAGGTCTAGCTTGAATCTGGAAGAAGAAAGGAAGTAGTGGTTCCTATTTTCATCTCCACATCCCAAACTTTCAGCAGGAAGATCTCATGTGGTCACTTCCAATTCAGTCTTCTTTAGACTGGCATTCTGATGTCTTTGCCTATATGTACTGTAGGATATGTTTTTATCCTGTGACACTTTTCCTCAGAAATAAACTTAACATATGATTAATTCCAAGGCAACAATATCCCTCTTTAATAATCAGTTAAATAAATCAACATTTAAAAAGTATAAGTTGAGATACGCCCTTGGAGACATTTGTTAATAGGTTCCCCAGAGAGTAAAGTTTGTAAGTAAATTTATTCATTCTGGTGGCATCAAGCTGGTTTTCCTAGCTTGCAGTGCATATGTTCAGCTTCATAACAGCAATGAAACCCAGGCAGGATATCCAACCCATGCAGTCAACGGATGTGACACAAATCTACAACCAAAGATGAAAAAAGTTGGTCTCATTTTCTCCATGTTCTTGACATTTCACTGAGAAGATCATCAAAATTGAGGTGGATGCAAATGAGGACACAAACGATAAAATGAATGAAAACTACTGTCATCAACACTTTCAGCTAGATAAATAACTTAAAAACAGCGCATCTTTGAAACAGTATATAAAAATTAATGTCTATTCTGGGATGGTGGACTTTAACACCATGTTATCTAGTAATCCTTAGTCTTGAAAAATAAGGACAAATATCTAAGAAAAGAAAGAATGCACTGGTAATGTGAATTTCTTAAGAAAATAGCTTTTGGGGGGGTAAAATATGGATAAGGGATGGTGCACTAGCTACTGTATGCATTTTGGACTGTTGTTTTTAAACAATATAATTTACTGGGATGTGTGATCTTATTGAAAAGCACGTCAAGACAGAATCCAGAAATAGCACAGAAATAGATATCCTTCATATTCTGAATGTGGACAATTACAAGCTTATATGCTGAAACAATCTGGAATTCTGATAATCTGTTCTGAAGTTTCAGGGTGTGTTGAAATTCTAAGAATTCATGCTGCAAGACCCTTCAGACTCCTATTGGACATGGAACTGAACTCTCCCAACATCACAGAGGTGACTGAGTTCATCTTAGTTGGCTTCCAACTTTCCAGGATCTTGGAATGCTTCTTGTTTTGGATGTTCCTGTTGATTTTTCTGCTCACATTAACTGGGAATTTCACCATCATCACACTGGTATGCATGGACCAACGCCTCCAAACTCCCATGTACTTCTTCCTCTGCAACTTGTCTCTTCTGGAGACTTTCTTTGTCTTGACAATCTGCCCAAAGATGCTTGTCAGCCTGATTTCTTCGAACAAAGCTATTTCTTTTGGGGGATGTATTGCCCAATGCTATTTCTACTTCTCCTTGGGTACCTGTGAGTATGTTCTTATTGCTGTGATGGCCTTTGATTGCTATGTTGCTATCTGCTACCCACTCCGTTATGTCATCATCATGAGCAAACATCTCTGTGTCTTCTTGGTTCTGGGCTGCTGGACTGGGGGATTCCTTCTCATTCCATTGCTCTTCCTTCTCAGTCTGTCTTTCTGTGGCTCTAACCTCCTTGACCATTATTTCTGTGACTATGCCCCAATTGTAAAGCTTTCTTGCAGCAAGAATGTCCATTTCCTTTTGGACTTTGAGATAGCTTTCTCTTTAACGGTGCTGCTCAGCTCCTTATCTGTCAACGGGGTCTCCTACCTCTATATTATTTCCACTGTCCTATGGATGCATTCCACCAAAGGCCAGAAGAAGACCTTTTCCACCTGTGCTTCCCACATTACAGTAGCTACCATATTCTATGGCAGTTCCATCTTCATGTACTCCTTACCCACCAAAGGACGTTCGCAGGGTGTGCAAAAATCCATTGCACTTGTCACTGCAGTTATTACTCCATTATTGAATCCTTTTATTTACACTCTGAGAAATCAGAAGGTCAAGGATGTCTTAAAGGAGTGTCTAAAGAACTCTTTTCCACATTGAGAACTGTTTACACCAGTGGTTCTCAACCTGTGGGTCTGGACCCCATTTGGGGTCAAACGGCCATTTCACGGGGGTCGCCAAACAAGGCTGTCTGCCATTTTTCCTCTTTTTCTTTGGCCACGCCCCTGGCACCCAGTGATGTATAAGTGGTTGGGGGTCACCACAACATGGGGAACTGTATTATGGGGTCATGGCATTAGAAAGGTTGAGAACCACTGGTTTACACCTATCTGCATTTAGCAAGCTTCATTTCAGGGTTGCAGAAATTGATGGAAAACTAGTTTATGCATGGATAGTATATAGGAAATTTGATTCATATTTGTAGGTCTAGTAATTTCTTTGCCTTTTTATATGTGGGATATATATATATATATATATATATATATATATATATATATACACATACATATACATATACGTATGTGTATGTATATGTATATATACATATATATATGTATATGTATATATACATATACAAATATATGTACAAAATATATTTCATTTTATATATATATATATATATATATATATATATATATATATATATATATATAAAATGAAATATATTTCATTTATATGTTTTCCTTATTTTGGTGTTCAGAACATTCTAATGACATTACTAACTTCTCAATGTATGGCAATAGAAGAGTAATTAATTTTCAATGGATTTGCATTTTAGCTACAGACATTTGTCTGCATTTTTGTATATGGACTTTTAAATTCATATATTTCATGGACTGTATATGTTTACCTTATTCATGCATTCAGAATGACCTAACGACATTGCCAACTTCTCAGTGCATGGGAATAGACCAGCACACCAATGGAAGAAATAAAGAATATAAGAAGAGATTTCATCCGATATCAATGGGAAGCACTGTGCTTAGGCAAATTAGTCCTCTCATCACTCCCTTCCTGGACAGCAGAGAAATTTTGGAGTATGTACACAATAATTTGTTCTGCCTCTAGTTCCGTATCCAGCATGGTAGACCATTTTTTATTCTGATTTCTACAAAAAGAAATTTATATCTACTTACAAAAATTAATGAGGTCACTGAATCAGCATGGATTTCATTTCAAGGTGACAGGTTTTGGATTCTATGTGAAGATGTCATCCTAAAAACAAATTGAGTTCCTCAAAAAGCTTCACAAAACTGGCTTCAGTGCTAATGCTTAAGTAGAGAAAGTCAAATTAAAGGGGAAGAAAAAATGACATATACATTAAGGCCAAAGGGTCTGATTTACAATTAAATCTTTAATGAATTTTGCATTCTTGATAGAATTTACATTTGCTGTCACTGCTTGGATCAGAATGAGAAAACCAGGGATCCAACTTAAACTGCTTGCACCACAACTCACATTTAATGTCATGGGAGACAACTTTTTCACATTCAGGAAGAAAAGCTTTTCAACCATTTTTCAACCATGAATAATTGCAGAGGTTATAATAGATATTATAGGAGTTTTCCCATTCATTATTAAGAAAGTCTGGTGGTTGGTTTTTGTTCTACTCAAAAATAAATGATGTGAAGACTTTGGTGGTTTGGTATGGTTATTTTTCTTCTCAATGAAAAAATGGTAACAAACTTGATCTTGCACGTTTTCACTATTGTCCTTTTTCATATTGGAAATTTTGTGGCTCCAAAGGTCAAAAATGGGGCACACTATGGATTTGGGGAGGGCTGAAAATATAAGATTTAGATGCAAGAGAATCTTCAGCCTTCCAACACAACCTCAAAGCAGAGATTTGATTTGTATAAATGTCTTCCTATTGCTTTCATTTGAAAAAACCTTCCCAGCAAAGAGTAAAGAAAAAAATTGTTAGTTTGCAGCCAAGCCTGCAGGGAATACACTGAAGTTGAGTTGCTCCACTCACTGTTTATATATTGCTATAAGGATAACCATAATATTAGACTCCAATAGAGATGTTGATATGTTCAAGTGATCTCCTGCATTAAAAAAAATAAGTGTGTCCAATAAAGGGTAATAGAGTATAATTGGTAAATATAGAGTAAAATGGTAAAAAAATTGACTGTTGCTTTTTGAAAGATGGATTCCTTTAAAATACAACCTATATATTTCATTTTTATAAGTAGTTGATATACTATAGAATATTTGATATAGTATTCTTACTATATTGAGCCTGCAGTGTGTGGCAGGAGCCAAAAAGGCTGATACAGTCCTTGTTTGTATAAACAGAGGCATGGAATCAAAATCACGTGAAATATTAGTATTGCTTTATAAATCCTGAATAAGGCCACACCTGGAATATTGCCTCCAGTTCTGGTCACCACATTACAAAAAAGATGTTGAGAACTTTGGAAAAAAATGCAGAGAAGAGCAACTGAGATGATTAAAGGCTTGGAGACAAAAACATGAAGAACAGTTGCAAGAATTGAGTAGGCCAATCTAGAGAAAAGGATTATGAGTGACATGATAGCAATATTTCATTATTGAGGGTCTGCCACAAAGAAGAAGGGTCAACTTAATTTCCAAAGTACCAGAAGGCAAGAAAAGAAACAATGGGTAGAAACTAATCAAGAAGAGAGGCAACCTGGAATTAAGGACAAAATTCTAACCAGTGGAACTGTTTGTCTTCAGAGGTTGTAGGTGCTTCACCACTGGAGTTTTTAAGAAGAGACTGGCCAATCACCTATGAAATGATATAGGGTCTCCTGAGCAGGGGTTGGACTAGAAGATCTACCATGTTTTCCCCAAAATAAGACCCAGTCTTATATATTTTTTGCCTCCAAAAGAGGCACCAGGTCTTATTTTCAGGGGATGTCTTACTTTAGGACTGCCACAGCCAGGCCTTCAACACCCTGACACCTGTCGCACTGCTGCTTGACTTCTTTAGTGGCTGCTTGCTGCTGCTTGTGGCCAGACGCCACGTGGCACATAGCAGTGGTGCCGCTGCTGATAGCAGGAGGCCGCGTGGTGCTTTCGGATGGTGCCACTGCTCACAGCAGGAGGCCACATGGTGCTTTGGGCTGGTGTGAGTGGCACCAGCCTGAAGTGCGATGCGGCCTCCTGCCACGTTACCAGCCATGCAGCTACAAGCAGCCACAGAAGAACTCAGGCAGTTGCAAGATAGGTGTTGGGGCATGGGAAGTCTGGCTGTGGCAGTCCTACTGGTAAGGTAAACAGGTGTGGGGTGCGTGGGACAGCTCTACCCCCTCACTCTTGCCCTAGCTTGATTTTTAGGTGTGTCCCTTGCCCCCAAACTAGAGCTTATTTTGGGGGTAGGTCTTACTTTCGGGGAAACACAGTACTAGGTCCCTTTCAGCTCTATTCTCTATTCTGATTATTTTGGAAAATAATAAGTTTGTCAGTGTGTCTCTGTGTGTAACAGAATAACAGAGTTGGAAGGGACCTTGGAGGTCATCTAGTCCAATCCTCTCCTCAAGCAAGAAACCCTATTCCATTTCAGACAAATAGTTGTCCAACCTCTTCTTAAAAACCTCTAATATTCCAGTTACCATTTGAGAAAGCACCTTTGGGATTATTCTGTTGAGATGACATATCTATTGAACCAAGGCCAGCCAAAGCACGGGGGAAATTACCTATCCCTATAGCAAAAGGAGACGACACCACTTTTGCACTCTGTGCTTCAAAAACTAACAAACCCTAGGTTGTGGTTTATAAATCACAGCAGTTGATGTGATTTATCACAGATGTGAAGGCAGAACGAAACCACAACCAAACTTGGTGTGTGGCATGAGAGAGGCCAAGATAAAGTGCCCTACACGATGAATGTGCACACAATGATTTTTCCTGTCTTTGGGTTTGACATCAATAGAGGAAGAAGTTATAGAAAACCTGATACAGATTCCCCTGCAATGCATTTTATCACTGCTTGAGGAGGTTCTGAGGGAGCTTTGCAAGCCAATCCTGAATACCTCTTACATCACATGCTTCAAAACAATAACAAGCTCCATGGTTTATAAGAAGTTACTTCTATACTCATTGCTGTGAAAAAAATATGTATGTATGTATGCAGAAAAATTGTCCTCTGTATATCTGTGACCCAGGAATCTTCTGAAAGACACTCTGGATGGTGAATTTCATCATTCCCCAAATTTGAATTAGGGAGTAAAGTTTTTATGGATGCTTTTTCCTTGTTTTTTATTAATCGATATATTCAGCCCAGTCTAATAAACTAGAGGATGGTTTTACGGGCAGAAAGAAGATAGCATAGGGTTCATGAAATCTGTATGAATATTTTAATATAAATTGGAAACGGTGAGTATTTTGGAAATGTTTCAACACTTGGGTCAAGAATATTGAGGTTTAATACTGCTCTGAATATCAAGACTGTGACTGGAGAGCTTCAGATTGTTGCAGTAGGTAAAGACTGTCTCATGTGTGCTGTTTAGGATGCGGTTTTAGAAACAAAACTCAAGCCAATTTTGTTTTACTCCTATAATTCATCATAGGGGAATATGGCCTGCAGAACCCATTAGAACTTACTTCTGAATCAAGTCTCTTTTGATCCTAGTTTATAAGCGTGCAGGTTGTATTTGCCTGGCTGACAAATCTGCATGATGAATATTTTATCAGAGAGTTAATTAGTCTGAAATTTCCCTGAATAAGCTTTATGTTGAATTCATCTCCCCACTTTATCCTCATGGCAAAATGCTAAGGAGATGTTAACCAGCACAAAGGTGTTGTCCTAGAGTGAACTTCCAAAAAGGCATTTTAGGGACATTTAACAATTAGCAAGTAATCTATTTGCCTTCAGAAGTTCTGGATGGTCCATCACTAGAGGCTTTTAAGAAGAGGCAGGAGACCCACTTGTGTGGCATGGTATAGGGTCTCCTGCTTCGGACAGGTTGAACTTAAAGACCTCCAAGGTCTCTTCCTACTCTATTCTTCTGTATTTCTGTATTATCTCTGTTACTATGAATCTTCTTGTAAACCCAAGAAGGGGAGATCATTGGGAAGAAACAAGGGGCTGATGACTTTTCTACTGTGTCTACAATGGAGAGACACATAATGTGAAAACTTAGCTTTCCAGAGAAGGATCTAATGCTCAGAAAAATGAAAGGAATCAACAGAATAGGACAACGGGCATTAAGGTGGACAGACTCAGTTCCAGCAATGATGAACGTATTATTGGAAGACTTGAAGGACCAGGTTAAAGACAGATCTTCTGTTCAGCAGGAATTGGAAATGACTTGATAATTAATCTATATTGGGCATCTTTCCAATTTGGCAATACAGTATTCTTTTTTCTTTTCTTTTATTCCCCATCTTTCTTCCTTATTCAACAATTATCCAATATTGTGACTGGAGCTGTCACCCTTGTTCAAGGAAGTTCTCAAAAATTATTCCTCTTCAAGTGAGATTTATTATTTTCTATTAGTGCAGCAGGATAGGTCTTAAACTCAGAGAAGCTGCTAACCGGTCCAAGTATGTTTTCTGAATGCAGCTCCATTGAGAAGAATGATAGGATCACCTTTTCTTCAGGACTTGAAACATTATCAATTTGAAACACAAGGTTAGTAGCAATAACTACTTAGCATAGTATAGGGAGAAAGCTGTTCAATATTCACTGACCATTATAGAAGATATAAAATTACTGTAAGACTTTTTTTCTCAGAAATACTACACCTGCATTAGCACTTAGATTATATACAATGCTTTATTGCCCTCTCTACGCAGAATTTTCTTCTGACAGAAAGAGAAAAATGACTTTTCTCAGGTGAGATGGGAAGAGAGCACTGAGCAAATATAAAATAATCAGATACTTTAACCATGCAAAAATAGATTTTTTTTCATGACTCAAAGTATGACTCATTTTGGACAGGTGAGAACACAGGCTGATGCCTACAATACCTTGATCCGATTCAAATCATCATTTATTACTTATGTCAGAGACCAACCATTTGATGGTCTACAGAGAATTAAAGCTGGTGAAATTGTGTTCATTTGTAATGGGCAACTGAAACAAAATTGAAGTTGGAATAATCTCTTCTCACTTCACTCTTTTTTTAGGAATGAACTAAATGGCAAACAGCACCACAGTGAGGGAATTCATATTGTTAGGGCTAACTAACAACCAACAAATTGCTGTTGGCCTTTTTCTCATCCTGCTTGGGATTTATCTTTTGACATTGATAGGAAACATGTTGATTATTATTGTCACATTGGTGAATGCCCAACTGTGTAGTCCAATGTATTTCTTCCTCCGACATGTGGCATGGATAGAGATTGGGTATGTAAGTAGCATCATTCCTAAAACACTGGCCAACATAGCCACTGGTAGCAAGAGTATCTCTTTAGCTGGTTGCTTCGTACAGATGTTCCTCCATTTTGTTCTTGGCACCACTGAATTCCTTCTACTGGCCACAATGTCTGTTGATCGCTACATAGCCATCTGTAACCCTCTTCACTACACAACCATCATGAATGAACAAATCTGCTCATTATTGGTACTTTGTTGCTGGATTGGGGGTTTGTCATTAATTCTAGTTCCAGCCATTCTTTTCTTTCAAATGCCATTTTGTGGTCCTAACAACATCATCAATCATTTCTTTTGTGACAATGGAGCACTAATCAAACTCTCATGTGTTGATACCAGTCTCCTAGAACTGATTAATTTTATGATTGCCATATTCTCTCTGCTTGGGACCTTAAGTGTCAACATTGTGTCTTATGTCAAAATCATTTCCACGATTCTGCGCATCCCATCAACTACAGGGAGGAAGAAGACATTTTCCACCTGTGCATCTCACATGACTGTGGTCTCCATCACTTACAGCAGTTGTGTTTTCATGTACATAAGACCCAAAGGCAGCAGCAAATTAGATTTCAACAAAATGATAGCTCTTCTGAATACTGTCCTGGCTCCACTTTTGATCCCGTTCATATATTGTTTGAGGAACAGACAAGTGCAGGATGCTTTGAGGACTGAACTGAGACAATGGATTGAGTTTTGCAAGAAATTGAAATGATTTGTCATTGAAGTGACCTTGAATCAGATTTTAAAGTTCATCTTCTGCTTTGTTAAGTTATGGCATGTGCTGCTTTCAGATGTAATGATCACACACTGATGTGGTTTACAAGAGGACGTGGTAATCAGGAAGCAAAACATTTGATAATCCTCAACAAAATAAAGCACAATATATCAGGAACATGCACACAATGTTTTGTTCTGTCTTTGGGTTTGATATCTACAGAGAAACTGACAGAAAATACTTGATAGACATTTCTTGCAATTTGCAATATGTTTCTTTGATCCTCAAGAAGTCCCTGTGGGATCTTCACAGTTAGTCTCGAATACATGTTGCACCTTATGCTTTAAAATGATAACCAGCTTCATTGTTTATAAGAGGCAGCTTCCATGTTCATTGCCCTGAAGAGATATGGAAAAAGAAGGCAGCAAAATTGCACAGAGGGTACATCTGAGAATGCAGAAAGTTATGCCTCCCAAACATTGAATTAAGGGGTAACATTTTAACAGATGCATTTGCTTTGCCTCTGATTTGTAAGCAAAATCAGCACCATTTCACAATCTAGAAAAATGACTATTACTCACAGAAAATTGCAAGACCATAGCCTAGAGACCATGAACAATTTCTGAATCTGTTTTGTGTATATTGTAAGTGGTGAAAATACTGCCTGCCAAATATACACTAAGGAGAGATATAGCCATGGACTTCATTCCACAATGAAGTCCATGGCTATATCTTGCCGTGGACGGTCCGGGTCTACGACAGGCTGAAGCAACCCGATCGGCTTCCCGGGATATGGTTTTCACTGAGCGCACACATGACAATCATTTACATATGTCTAGATATCCCGCCTCATCCGGGGCCACCAGAACTGACGTCTGGCTAGATGTAAGGTTTTTAAAAATCCAAAGTGACCCGCTTGTTTCGAGTCATGGCACCAGTGACAAACCCGGTTTCCCATTTCTTTTGGTATGTATAGTTTATTGCTATACCATGCCAATCCGTCCCTTTGAGTTAGCAAGCCAGGATTGTCCCACAGACACATATCCTGTACTAGTGCCTCTCTCAAATCGTCCTCAAAAGCCCCCACCTTGGTGCAAGTATGTACCCCAGGTTGGTCATATGTAGGCAGGATTGCTTGCACTACCTCAACTCTTTTACTGTCATATTGTGGGAGTCGGGACAAAGCATCAGCGAGGAAATTCTTACCCCTGACACATATTTGAGGTGAAAGCAAAATCTTCTGAAATATTGTGCCCAACACACATGCTTCAATGACAGACGCCTAGGGGTTTGCAATACTTCCAAGTTCTTATGGTCAGTCCAGACCTCAAACGGATATTTAGCTCCCTCCAGCAGAAGTTTCCAAGTGGAGAGAGCTCACCCCAAGGCAAATGCCTCCTTCTCCCAGATAGCCCATGCTCTCTCCATCTCTGTCAACCTGAGGGAGGTATACGCACACAGCTGCAGTTTCCCTTGACTGTTCACTTGAAGTAACACAGCCCCCACACCAACATCACTAGCGTCAGCCTGTACTACAAATGGTTGTTCTGGATCTGGGTGCAACAACACAGGCTCTTGTGCAAACAATGCCTTCAGTGTTTCAAAAGCTTATTGACAGTGAGTTGTCCAGGCCAAGGCCTGTCCAGGACGAGGTTTTGTTTTACAGGACCGAGTGCATAATAAATTTGTTATCAATTATTCTGTTACTAATAAAGGAGAACATTTGTAGCTCAGTGTTGACATGAGGGATCCTTGGTGCTCTCTGAGCTTGCTTGTTTCCTTGCAGACATTTCATTACCCAAACTAGGTAACATCATCAGTGCTAGTAAGGAGTGGGGTTTGCTGTCAGTTTATATTCTAGACTAGCTTTGCTGGCTGAGGAATTCTGGGAGTTGACGTCCACACGTCTTAAAGTTGCCATGGTTGAGGACCCCTGTTCTAGTGTATATTCTACTGCAGGGGGTCTTCAAACTTGGCCCTTTTATGACTTGTGGACTTCAAGTCCCAGAATTCCTCAGTCATTAGATGTTGTTAATGTCTATGTGTCTATTAAAAAGACATTAACAAGCACCTCTCCACCAGCAACCAGCACCCAGATCAGCATAGATTAACTCCAATGTTAACATCAGACCCATAATCAAGTAAAAAATACCCCAAGTATTACTAGGTAACTGAGCAGGTTACCTAGTTTGGGTGATGAAATATCTGCAAGAAAATGAACAAGCTCAGAGAGCACCAAGGACCCCTCAAGTATTCTGTATCTGCTTCCTTTATTGATGTCAAACACAAAGACAGAGAAAATCATTGTGCTCATGTTCCTCATACTTTGTGCTTTGTTTTGTTCTCTGTCATGCAACATACTAAGTTTTGTTGTGGTTTGCTTTTGACTTAACCTCTATGAACCCAACCTCTGTGATATGTAACTATGGTACAGGCTTTGTTACTTTTTGAAGCACACAGTGCAAAAGGTGTTAGCAAATTCAGGATGGGATTGGATGGATTAAAATGATATTGGGTTAGGTTGGATTGGATTGAATTGAAAGTTGGTTATAAGATGGGTGGCTATGTAAACGTTTTAAGTAAATAATTAGGCAGTATTTAAAACCAAATTATTTTTCTAGTTGAATGCAACTTTTCCTCTTGACCATTCATGATGCTCAATCTCACCCTCCCACTTCTTTCTGTGGAGGAGTTATTGTGGGAATTAGGTGCTTCTGCTAAAACACGTAATTCCCACAATAATGTCTTATGTCTAAAGATATAGTTTATCTTTTCTATTACATTCTATTATGGGTGTCTTATGATTAGATTACTTTGTTATTTGTATGTACACTGAGAGTTTATGCACCAGAGACAAATTCCTTGTGTGTCTGATAAAACCTGGCCAACAAAACTATTCTATTCTGTTCTGTTCTGTTCATCTGACTATGTGGCTGGTGGGTCCTTTTCTTATAAAACTAGGAAATAGTGGTGGAATAGCTGTCACACGAAGCATTGGGACATTCATGCTTTAAGGAGGGGGGACATGATTGGAGAAATAATGAAAAGAAGTGATGTGTTGAATCATGGGTAGTATATAATCCATCTGGAATGTCCAACATATGTAGGAAATACGTCACCTTTTCTCCACTAGAACCATGCTGTGATGACTCAAAGGTCATTGATCTGTATCCAGACACAACACCTTACTTATTTCCTCCCAGCTTCCATAGTTTCATACCTCTAAATATACATCATCATTTCTTTATATCATTTCTGTTCTGTTCCCAATTTGCAAATATTTCTCATATAAGACTTAAATTATAATTAGGAAACAAATCAATTTATGTCAGCTTTTTTTTTTCTTAAATACTATTGATACTGCAACCCAAAATGATTTTTTTTCAAAAGGATGATGTGACAGTTTCACATTATGTGGGTGAAAATAATTCTGTTCTTTGCATACTTACACATATATTTGAAACTACGTCACCAGTTACATCCCTCTAATAGTAACTTAGAAATTAAAAGCCAAGAAGGTGAAAGATCAAACAAGAGTGCTGAGATCTAAGGAACAGCCAAGCAAGAATTCTAGTCCCAATAGAGGAGAATTTCAATGCTAGTCTTCATTCAAGATCAGGATTACAACTAGAAATAGAAATGCAACAATTTCAAAGCATCAAAATGTACACAGATTGTTTCCAAGTCCTGAACAATCCATCATAATATAAAAACCACCTTTCACAAAATTTAACTCTGATGTAACTGTGGCCATACCCATGCTGTCCTCCTAATAGCAGCACAGAAGCTCTTTTTTCACTGTGCTCTTCTGGAATGTATTCTTGAGATCCCAATCTAGACTACAGCAATAGGCGATAGTTCTCTTATCCATGTATCAACAAACTCCAACTCTATATTGATTTGTTTGAGATCAGCCAAGGTTGGCTAAGTGTTTCCAATGGTTTCTTCTCACAAAATACGTTTGTGCCTTTGCAAACAGTCTCGCAAAGCATCTTTGACCTTCTCATTCCTCAAAGTGTAAATAAAAGGATTCAGTAACGGGGTGACCACAGCAGTTAGAACTGCCACAGCTTTCTGGGCATCCCGAGAATGACCCTTGCTGGGCAAAGAGTACATGAAGATGGCACTGCCATAGAAGATGGAAGCGACAGTTAGATGAGAGGCACAGGTTGAAAAAGTCTTCCCACGGCTGCCACTGATCTGCATGCTCAAGACAGTCACAATTATGTAGAGATAAGAGACAAAAGAGCCGAGGTGGCGCAGCAGTTAGAGTGCAGTACTGCAGGCCACTTTAGCTGACTGTGTTCAGCAGGTCAGCGGTTCAAATCTCACCGGCTCAAGGTTGACTCAGCCTTCCATCCTTCCGGGGTAGGTAAAATGAGGACCCAGATTGTTGGGGGCAATGTAATATATATATATACATTGCTTACTGGTGTACACCGCTTAGAGAGTGCTTGCACTTAAAGCGGTATATAAGTCTCATAAATAAATAAATAAATAAAAGTTACACACAAAGAGCTGAGTAACACCAGAGAAGAGAGGGTAGATTCCAAAGTCAGGAGAGTATCTACATCATTGCAAGAAAGGTTTATCAGTGGAGCATAGTCACAGAAGAAATGATCAATAACGTTAGAGCTGCAGAAGGACAGTTGGCCCAGGAGAACAATGGGGCCAAAATTATTCATGAAAGCACCAATCCAGCACACCAATATCAAATTCACACAAACCCGTCCATTCATGATGATCGTGTAGCGCAACGGATGACAGATAGCAATGTAGCGGTCAAAGGCCATTACGGCAATCAGGATGATTTCACAGGTACCAAAGAAGAAATAAGAATAGCATTGACTGATGCAGCCCAAGAAAGAGATAGATTTGTTCTGAGAAACTAAATCCATCATCATCTTTGGTGTGATTGTCAGAACAAAAAATATCTCCAAAAAGGAGAGGTTGAAAAGGAAGAAATACATGGGGGGTTTGCAAGCGTTGGTCTATGCATACCAGAGTGATAATCATGAGGTTTCCAGCTAAGGTGAAGAAAAACACAACCAGAAGCAATGAAAAAAGGAAGAATTCCATGGGCCTAGGTAGTTGGAAGCCAATTAAGATGAATTCTGTCACTTGTGTTGTGCTGTTCTGAGTCCTAGTTCTCATTGCGAATTTGCTGGTGGAGAAAAATCAAACAAAGAAACAACCCACTGCAGATAGGTGTCATTAGAAAATATATATTTTGCCTTCTTCTCTTAAGTCCCAAGTTCAAAACTAGAGACCTCTCATGAAAAATCCCCCCAGCCTTCTGAAGTCAAGAGATCATGCCTCTTCTGATAGAAATGTACCAGCACTGAAATGACTTCTTTCAAGAAGCAGAAACTGAGAACTGTTGGTCAACCTTCGTTCAAAATATAACTCTGCAAAAGAATATATTTTGGTTGGATCATTGTTTTTCAGTCACTGTGTGTGGTTTTTAATAAAACAAGAACTTGTTTTTATGGAGGAAGGTGGCATTGCTACTATTATGTGATATTCACTCAAATTATTCTTTCCCATATTTCATGACCAAAGACTGTCTATAAAATTAATGCCTTTATAGAGAAGTATATGAAGATACTTCTTTTTATATAAGCATATAAAGATACAGTACTGTATATAAACCTGTTTCCACAAAGTAGAAGAGGTCAAGCTATTCTCCAAAACACCTGAGGACAGGACAAGGGGCAATGGATGGAAATTAATCAAGGAGAGAAGCAACCTAGAACTAAGGAGAAACTTCCTGACAGTTAAAACAATTAATCAGTGGAACAACCTGCCTCCAGAAGTTGTGAATGCCCCAACACTGAAAGTTTTTAAGAAGAGATTGGACAAACATTTGTGTGAAATGGTATAGGGTTTCCTTCCTGAGCAGGGAGTTGGGCTATATGACCTCCAAGGTCCCTTCCAACTCTATTCTATTCTATTCTATTCTATTCTATTCTATTCTGTTCTGTTCTGTTCTGTTCTGTTCTGTTCTGTTCTATTCTATTGTACCCCTTCTGCAACCTCTCATCCTTTATCTTTAATATCTTTCCATATCAAAGAACACAGAAACAACATCTTATATTCAATAGAGCTAGTTACAGTTCTAAAGCATGTAATATAAGAAGAATTCAAGACTGACTTCTGAAGATCCCTCAGGGACATCTCAATGCAGAGAAATGCATTGCAAGGAATCTGTATCAAGTATTCTGTATCTCCCTCTATTGTTAATGTCAAACCCAAAGACAGAGAAGACCATTGTGTGCATGTTCCAAGGGAAGTCTTCACTTTAGTTGAGGATTTATTTGATTAGCCATTCTATTCAGATCTAATAATACAAATCAGTTCTCTCTCAATCAATTTCAAGTGTTTCAAGCACACATTTACAAAACTCATTGAAAATGGTAGGAATCAAATGGACTTGGCTGTGTCTAATTCCATTGACCATTGGTAATAAAACTGTGTCTCCCAGTGGGACAGTGAATTCAGACAGAAATTATTTCAGGGAGAATTCCAGAGCATCACAAAACATGATCAGACTTGGACATCAATGTCCATTTCTGATCTGGACTCATATTTCTTTTATTTAACTGTAGTTTTGCTTGCATTCTGAGACATTCAAGAACTTCCCTCTGCTTTCAACCTTTGCTAGCTATTTGGATACCAAAATTTTTTTATAAATGAGAACTATGAGTCATATTGAGCAAGATAAAGGAAGGGAGGTCTTGTCTACCATCTTTCTCCAATATCCCAAAGCAACTTTGCATGAATTCTTGATAGGTCTTGAGAAATAAGATGCTATAATTTAAAAAGTCCTTATTCTTGTGGTTTGGTTTGAATTAACCAACAAAACCACTTAATTAGATACTTATTTTATTCATTTTATTTATTAAACCAAGTTTACTGACCACCTCACATTAAGGTGACTATGAACACCTTACAAACATTAATTTCTATATTGGCAACATTCTCTTGCTCTAGATCTCATGTTTCATGCCTTTACTATGTATTTTCTGTTACATTCAGCTTTATCAATGGGATCATTGCCTGCTGATATTCTATAATCACTGAGCTTCATTCTCCAGTTCAGTTATTCTACTCTGGGATAAACATCAAGAGGGATAGCTACATTCACCAGTATTGACTCCCATAAGTAAACCAAAACCAAATATCTTATTGTACTATATTGTATTGCATATGATCCACACAGAGTGCCAACTAATAAAACATACTTTAACCCAAGAAACAATCAGGAGATGGTGGCTGTATGGTCTGCTTCTGAAGATGGTAAGAGCTTTGAGGATGCATTAGGTGAAGTTCTCATATCTCCTAGGTCACATAATGTGCAACCAGATGTGTTTTGTAAATGGACAACCAGGAGAGATGGGCAATTGTCTTTTTCCATTGTTCTTCACTAGCAAACCAATATTTTCAGGGATTCGGCCTTTGATGTCAATCAGATGTTTCCATTCTTGATTATCCCATCCTCTATGCCAGTGACAGCGAAACGTTTAGAGACCGAGTGCCCAAACTGGAACCCAAAACCCACTTATTTATTGCAAAGTGCCAACACCACAATTTAATCTGAATACTGAGGTTTTAGTTTAGAAAAAACAACTCATAGATTAACATCTTTTGTCTTAAAAGAAAAACACCATAACAAAGCTTTCAATGATACAAACAACTTTTTATTGAAAGGTAAACAGTTTGCATTAGGCATGCTTTTGAACCATTAATGTGATTTTTGTTGTTGTATGCATGCTGATAATTTCTCTAACCTTGGCTTATATTTTGTAAGTTTGAAAGCAACGTATGCCGCACTCAGGTCATCTGTTAGTCTGTTTCTGGTGTCAGATTTGATATAATTCAAAGCTGAAAAGAGCACGCTCGCTCCAGAGGCTTGTTTTGGCTACAAAGGGGCTTGAGAAATGGCTTTTTTCCTGCAAAAACCTAGCCAAAGAGTGAGGCATGCATGCCCATAGAGAGAGCTCTGAGTGTCCCCTCTGGCATGCATGCCATAGGTTTGCCACCACTACTCTATGCTTTCTCTAATCCTCTTGTAAGACCATCTCAATGGGTAATTATTACATCTGAAGGCAGCACAATCCATTCAAAGACATTAAATCTGAACATCTTTTTCGGAGCCCTAGCAATAGCCAATGATCTCATTTTTTTGCAAAACCAATCCTTTGTCTCAGTTCAGTCTTCCAGGCATCCTGCACTTGTCTGTTCCTCAAAGGGTATGCGATTGGGATGAGAAAGGGAGCAATAACAGTATTCAGAAGAGCCACTATTTTGTTGTAGTCTAATCCAATGGTGCCTTTTGGCTTGATATATATGAAAATACAACTACTGTAAGTGATAGTGACCACGGTCATGTGAGAGGCAAAAGTGGAGAAGGTCTTCTTTCTCCCAGTAGCTGATGGAATGCGCAGAATGGTGGAAATGATTTTGACATAAGAGACAATGTTGACACTTAAGGTCCCAAGCAGAATGAATATTGTAACTACAAAAAAAATCATTTCTAGGAAGCTGGTGTCAATACATACCAGCTTCATTAGGGGTCCATAGTCACAAAAAAAATGATTCATGACGTTAGGACCACAAAATGGCATAAGAAATAAAGGAATGGATATAACTAGAATTAGTGATAAACCCCCAACCCAACAAGAAAATACTAATAATGAGCAGATTCGGGGATTCATGATGGTTGTGTAGTGAAGAAGGTTGCAGATGGCTATGTAGCGATCAACAGACATTGTGGCCAGTAGGAAGAACGCAGTGGTGCCAAGGACCAAATAAAGAAATACCTGTATGAAGCAACCAGCTAAAGAGATGCTCTTAGTACCAGTAGCTATGTTGACCAGTGCTTTGGGAATTATAGTACTCATATACCCAGGATCTACCCATGCCAAATGTTGGAGGAAGAAATACATTGGGCTACAGAGCTGAACATTCACCATTGTGATAATAACAATCAGTGTGTTTCCTATTAATGTCAAAAGATAAGTCCCAAGCAGGAGGAGAAAAAGGCTAACTTCAAGTGGAGGGTTGGCATTCAGCCCCAACAGTATGAATTCCTTTATTGTGGACCTATTTGCCATTAGTTCATTCCTAAAAACAGAGTGAAGATGTTAATTTCCAGATCCCCATTCTTCTTTTAACTGCATGTTTCAAATAAGCATCAGCTTATCTGTTTCCATTCTTTGCATTAAAAATCAAAGAGAAGTTAAAAACCTGATGCTTTGAATCAGACCATGATTCTTCTAATATGTTATTCCAAACAGAGCAATTCTTCACTGTAGTCTGCTTCTGAGTGAGGTTAATCCAAGTGGAGCTACAAGGGACCCCTCCATGTTTCAGCCTGTCAAAAACAATTCATCCTTGTGGACATGCAAAGAACCCCAAAATGCATACAGGAACTGGGTACATCTAGTCTAATGAAAAGAAGGACTAGGGATGACATCATAGCAGGGTTCCAATATTTAAGGGCTACCACACACAAGTGGGGGGTCAAGCTATTCTCCAAAGCACCAGAAGGCAAGACAAGAAACTATGAATGCAAACTGAACAAAGAGAGAAGTAACCTAGAACTAAGGAGAATTTCTTGACAGTGAAAAAATAATAATCAGTGGAGAACTTGCCTCCAGAAGTTATTATACTCCAGTACTGAAAAAAAGTATTGGAAAAAAAGGAACTATCAAATTTTATTCCCTTATTTTTGATGCCTAACATTTTCACCCCTTGCAATCTACATATAAAAGTATTCATATCATTGTTATGATGTTATGCTTTTGTCTCATTTTAATTTCTGCTGGTAGAAGCCATTGTGTACATGGTTAAAGTGTGTTTCATTATCCCTACAAATCAGAGGCAATACATACTGTATCTGAAAACATCACAAGAATCCTTCTCATAAGGTGTACATGAACTGGGAGAAACTAGTGGCCCCAAGAATGAAACTTTGGGATGATCATCAGTGAGAGGTCTAGCTTGAATCTGGAAGAAGAAAGGAAGTAGTGGTTCCTATTTTCATCTCCATATCCTAAACTTTCAGCAGGAAGATCTCACGTGGTCACTTCCAATTCAGTCTTCTTTAGACTGGCATTCTGATGTCTTTGCCTACACGTACTGTAGGATATGTTTTTATCCTGTGACACTTTTCCCCAGAAATAAACTTAACATATGATTAATTCCAAGCCAACAATATCCCTCTTTAATAATCAGTTAAATAAAATAAAAAATTAAAAAGGATAAGTTGAGATACGCCCTTGGAGACATTTGTTAATAGGTTCCCCAGAGAATAAAGTTTGTAAGTAAATTTATTCATTCTGGTGGCATCAAACTTTAATGATATTAGGCCTAGCTTGCAGTGCATATGTTCAGCTTCATAACAGCAATGAAACCCAGGCAGGATATCCAACCCATGCAGTCAACAGATGTGACACAAATCTACAACCAAAGATGAAAAAAGTTGGTCTCATTTTCTCCATGTTCTTGACATTTCACTGAGAAGATCATCAAAATAGAGGTGGATGCAAATGAGGACACAAACGATAAAATGAATGAAAACTACTGTCATCAACACTTTCAGCTAGATAAATAACTTAAAAACAGCGCATCTTTGAAACAGTATATAAAAATTAATGCCTATTCTGGGATGGTGGACTTTAACACCATGTTATGTAGGAATCCTTAGTCTTCAAAAATAAGGACAAATATCTAAGAAAAGAAAGAATGCACTGGTAAGAAAATAGCTTCTGGGGGGGAAAATATGGGTAAAGGATGATGCACTAGCTACTGTATGCATTTTGGACTGTTGTTTTTAAACAATATAATTTACTGGGATGTGTGATCTTATTGAAAAGCACCTGAAGACAGAATCCAGAAAAAGCACAGAAATAGATATCCTTCATATTCTGAATGTGGATAATTACAAGTTTATATGCTGAAACAATCTGGAATTCTGATAATCTGTTCTGAAGTTTCAGGGTGTGTTGAAATTCTAAGAATTCATGCTGCAAGACCCTTCAGACTCCTATTGGACATGGAACTGAACTCTCCCAACATCACAGAGGTGACTGAGTTCATCTTAGTTGGCTTCCAACTTTCCAGGATCTTGAAATGCTTCTTGTTTTGGATGTTCCTGTTGATTTTTCTGCTCACATTAACTGAGAATTTCACCATCATCACACTGGTATGCATGGACCAACGCCTCCAAACCCCCATGTACTTCTTCCTCTGCAACTTGTCTCTTCTGGAGACTTTCTTTGTCTTGACAATCTGCCCAAAGATGCTCGTTAGCCTGATTTCTTCGAACAAAGCTATTTCTTTTGGGGGATGTATTGCCCAATGCTATTTCTACTTCTCCTTGGGTACCTGTGAGTGTGTTCTTATTGCTGTGAAGGCCTTTGATCTCTATGTTGCTATCTGCTACCCACTCCGTTATGTCATCATCATGAGCAAACATCTCTGTGTCTTCTTGGTTCTGGGCTGCTGGACTGGGGGATTCCTTCTCTTTCTCATTCCACTGCTCTTCCTTCTCAGTCTGTCTTTCTGTGGCTCTAACCTCCTTGACCATTATTTCTGTGACTATGCCCCAATTGTAAAGCTTTCTTGCAGCAAGAATGTCCATTTCCTTTTGGACTTTGAGATAGCTTTCTCTTTAATGGTGCTGCTCACCTCCTTATCTGTCAACGGGGTCTCCTACCTCTATATTATTTCCACTGTCCTATGGATGCATTCCACCAAAGGCCAGAAGAAGACCTTTTCCACCTGTGCTTCCCACATTACAGTAGCTACCATATTCTATGGCAGTTCCATCTTCATGTACTCCTTACCCACCAAAGGACGTTCGCAGGGTGTGCAAAAATCCATTGCACTTGTCACTGCAATTATTACTCCATTATTGAACCCTTTTATTTACACTCTGAGAAATCAGAAGGTCAAGCATGTCTTAAAGGACTGTCTAAAGAACTCTTTTCCACATTGAGAACCGTTTACAGTTACACCTATCTGTATTTAGCAAGCTTCATTTTAGGGTTGCAGAAATTGATAGAAAACTAGTTTATGCATAGATAGTATATAGGAAATTTGATTCATATTTGTAGGTCTAGTAATTTTTTTGCCTTTTTATATGTGGAATATATATATATATATATATATATATATATATATATATATATATATATATATATATATATAAATTTATTTATTTCATTTATATGTTTTCCTTATTTTGGTGTTCAGAACATTCTAATGACATTACTAACTTCTCAATGTATGGCAATAGAAGAGTAATTAATTTTCAATGGATTTGCATTTTAGCTACGGATATTTGTCTGCATTTTTGTATATGGACTTTTAAATTCATATATTTCATGGACTATTGTACCATTGTTTACCTTATTCTGGCATTCAGAATGACCTAACGACATTGCAAACTTCTCAGTGCATGGGAATAGACCAGCACACCAATGTAAGAAATAAAGAATATAAGAAGAGATTTCATCCGAGATCAAAGGGAAGCACTGTGCTTTGGCAAATTAGTCCTCTCATCACTCCCTTCCTGGACAGCAGAGAAATTTTGGAGTATGTACACAATAATTTGTTCTGCCTCTATTTCCGTATCCAGCATGGTAGAACATTTTTTATTCTGATTTCTACAAAAAGAAAGGCTGGCATTTATTCTGATTTCTACAAAAAGAAAGGCTGAATCAGCATGGATTTCATTTCAAGGTGACAGGTTTTGGATTCTATGTGAAGATGTCATCCTAAAAACAAATAGAGTTCCCCAAGAAGCTTCACAAAACTGGCTTCAGTGCTAATGCTTAAGTAGAGAAAGTCAAATTAAAGGGGAAGAAAAAATGACTTATATACATTAAGGCCAAAGGGTCTGATTTACAATTAAATCTTTAATGAATTTTGCATTCTTTTTTTTTATTGAAAATTTTTTAAAAGTTTTACAAATAAACAACAACCCTCACCCAATCCCTCCCAAACCCACCCCTCCCTCCCCCCTCCCCGAACTTCCCAGAACTGAATATAGGCTTATTTAAAAAAAATTTTTAAAAAAACTTAAACAACATTTACAACTTATAAAATAATTAATAATAATATATTCATATATATATATATATGAATTTTGCATTCTTGATGGAATTTACATCTGCTGTCACTCCTTGGATCAGAATGAGAAAACCTGGGATCCAACTTAAACTGCTTGCACCACAACTCACATTTAATGTCATGGGAGACAACTTTTTCACATTCAGGAAGAAAAGCTTTTCAACCATTTTTCAACCATGAATAATTGCAGAGGTTATAATAGATACTATAGGAGTTTTCCCATCCATTATTAAGAAAGTCTGGTGGTTGGTTTTTGTTCTACTCAAAAATAAATGATGTGAAGACTTCGGTGGTTTGATATGAAAAAAGGGTAGGAAACTTGATCTTGTATGTTTTCACTATTGTCCTTTTTCATATTGGAAAATTTGTGGCTCCAAAGGTCAAAAATGGGGCACGCTATGGATTTGGGGAGGGCTAAAAATATAAGATTTAGATGCAAGAGAATCTTCAGCCTTCCACTACAACCTCAAAGGAGAGAACTGATTTGTATAAATGTCTTCCGATTGCTTCCATTTGAACAAACCTTCCCAGCAAAGAGTAAAGGAAAAAATTGTTAGCTTGCAGGGAGTGCACTGAAGTTGAGTTGCTCCACTCACTGTTTATATATTGCTATAAGGATAACCATAATATTAGACTCCAATAGAGATATTGATATGTTCAAGTGATCTCCTGCATTAAAAAAAATAAGTGTGTCCAATAAAGGGTAATAGAGTATAATTGGTAAATATAGAGTAAAATGGTAAAAAAATTGACTGTTGCTTCTTTAAAGATGGATTCCTTTAAAATACAACCTATATATTTCATTTTTATAAGTAGTTGATATACTATCGAATATTTGATATACTATTCTTACTATATTGAGCCTGCAGTGTGGGCAGAAGCCAAAAAGGCTGATACAGTCCTTGGTTGTATAAACAGAGGCATGGAATCAAAATCACATGAAATATTAGTATTTCTTTATAAATCCTGAATAAGGCCACACCTGGAATATTGCCTCCAGTTCTGGTCACCACATTACAAAAAAGATGTTGAGACTTTGGAAAAAAATGCAGAGAAGAGCAACTGAGATGATTAAAGGCTTGGAGACAAAAACATGAAGAACAGTTGCAAGAATTGAGTAGGCCAATCTAGAGAAAAGGATTATGGGTGACATGATAGCAATATTCCATTATTTGAGAGACTGCCACAAAGAAGAGGGGTCACTTAATTTCCAAAGTACCAGAAGGCAAGAAAAGAAACAATGGATAGAAACTAATCAAGAAGAGAGGCAACCTGGAATTAAGGAAAAAATTCTAACCAGTGGAACTGTTTGTCTTCAGAGGTTGTAGGTGCTTCACCACTCGAGTTTTTTAAGAAGAGACTGGCCAATCACCTATGAAATGATATAGGGTCTCCTGAGCAGGGGTTGGACTAGAAGACCTACCATGTTTTCCCCCAAATAAGACCCGGTCTTATATATTTTGTGCCTCCAAAAGAGGCACCAGGTCTTATTTTCAGGGGATGTCTTACTTTAGGACTGCCACAGCCAGGCCTTCAACACCCTGACACCTGTCGCACTGCTGCTTGACTTCTTTAGTGGCTGCGTGTTGCTTCTTGTGGCCAGACGCCACGTGGCACATAGCAGTGGTGCCGCTGCTGATAGCAGGAGGCCGCGTGGTGCTTTCGGATGGTGCCACTGCTCACAGCAGGAGGCCACATGGTGCTTCGGGCTGGTGTGAGTGGCACCAGCCTGAAGTGCGATGCGGCCTCCTGCCACGTTACCAGCCATGCAGCTACAAGCAGCCACAGAAGAACTCAGGCAGTTGCAAGATAGCTGTCGGGGCATGGGAGGTCTGGCTGCAGCGGTCCTACTGGAAAGGTAAGTAGGTGTGGGGTGCGTGGGGCAGCTCTACCCTTTCACTCTTTCCCTAGCTTGATTTGTGTCCCTTGCCCCCAAACTAGGGCTTATTTTGGGGGTAGGTCTTACTTTTGAGGAAACACAGTACTAGGTCCCTTTCAGCTCTATTCTCTATTCTGATTATTTTGGAAAATAATAAGTTTGTCAGTGTGTCTCTGTGTGTAACAGAATAACAGAGTTGGAAGGGACCTTGGAGGTCATCTAGTCCAACCCCCTGCAAGAAACCCTATACCATTTCAGACAAATAGTTGTCCAACCTCTTCTTAAAAACCTCTAATGTTCCAGTTACCATTTGAAAAAGCACCTTTGGGATTATTCTGTTGAAATGACATATCTATTGAACCAAGGCCAGCCAAAGCACGGGGGAAATTACCTATCCCTATAACATAATGAGATGACACCATTTTTGCACTCTGTGCTTCAAAAACTAACAAACCCTAGGTTGTGGTTTATAAATCACAGCAGTTGATGTGATTTATCACAGATGTGAAGGCAGAACGAAACCACAACCAAACTTGGTGTGTGGCATGAGAGAGAGGAAAATAAAGTGCCCTACACAAGGAATGTGCACACAATGATTTTCCCTGTCTTTGGGTTTGACATCAATAGAGGAAGAAGTTATAGAAAACCTGATACAGATTCCCCTGCAATGCATTTTATTACTGCTTGAGGAGGTTCTGAGGGAGCTTTGCAAGCCAATCCTGTATACCTCTTACACCACATGCTTCAAAACAATAACAAGCTCCATGGTTTATAAGAAGTTACTTCTATGCTCATTGCTGTGAAAAAAATATGTATGTATGTACGCAGAAAAATTGTCCTCTGTATATCTGTGACCCAAGAATCTTCTGAAAGGCACTCTGGACGGTGAATGTTCTCTTTTCCCAAATTTGAATTAGGGAGTAAAGTTCTGATGGATGCTTTTTCCTTGTTTTTTATTTATCGATATATTCAACCCAGTCTAATAAACTAGAGGATGGTTTTACTGGCAGAAAGAAGATAGCATAGGGTTCATGAAATTTGTATGAATATTTTAATATAAATTGGAAATGGTAAGTATTTTGGAAATGTTTCAACGCTTGGGTCAAGAATATTGAGGTTTAATACTGCTCTGAATATCAAGACCGTGACTGCAGATTTTCAGATTGTTACAGTAGATAAAGGCTTTCTAATGTGTGATGTTTAGGATGGGTTTAGAAGCAAAACTCAAGCCCATTTTGTTTTACTCCTATAATTCATCACAGGGGAATATGCTCTGCAGAACCCATTAGAACTTACTTCTGAATCAAGTCTCTTTTCATCCTAGTTTATAAGCGTGCAGCTTGTATTTGCCTGGCTGACAAATCTGGATGATGAATATTTTGTCAGAGAGTTAATTAGTCTGAAATTTCCCTGAATAAGCTTTATGTTGAATTCATCTCCCCACTTTACCCTCATGGCAAAATGCTAAGGAGATGTTAACCAGCACAAAGGTGTTGTCCTAGAGTTAACTTCCAAAACGGACATTTAACAATTAGCAAGTAACCTATTTGCCTTCAGAAGTTCTGACTGGTCCATCACTGGAGGCTTTTAAGAAGAGGCAGGAGACCCACTTGTGTGGCATGGTATAGGGTCTCCTGCTTCAGACAGGTTGAACTTAAAGACCTCCAAGGACTCTTCCTACTTTATTCTTCTGTATTTCTGTATTATCTCTGTTACTATGAATCCTCTTGTAGACCCAAGAAGGGAGGATCATTGGGAAGAAACAAGGGACTGATGAATCTTCTACTGTGTCTACAATGGAGAGACACATAATGTGAACACTTAGCTTTCCAGAGAAGGATCTAATGCTCAGAAAAACTAAAGGAATCAACAGAATAGGGCAACTAGCAGTAAGATATACAGACCCAGTTCCTGCAATGATGAACGTATTATTGGAAGATTTGAAGGACCAGGTTAAAGACAGATCTTCTGTTCAGTAGGAGTTGGAAATGATTTGATAATTAATCTATATTGGACATCTTCCAATTTGGCAATACAGTATTCTTTTTTCTTTTCTTTTATTCCCCATCTTTCTTCCTTATTCAACAATTATCCAAAATTGTGACTGGAACTGTCACCCTTGTTCAAAGAAGTTCTCAAAAATTATTCCTCTTCAAGCGAGATTCATCATTTTCTGCTAGTGCAGCAGGATAAGTCTTAAACCCAGAGAAGCTGCTAACATGTCCAATTATGTTTTCTGAATGCAGCTCCATTGAGAAGAATGACAGGATCAACTTTTCTTCAGGACTTGAAACATTATCAATTTGAAACCAAGGTTAGTAGAAATAACTACTTAGCATAGTATTGGTAGAAAGCTGTTCAATATTCACTGACCATTATAGAAGATATAAAATTACTGTAAGACTTTTTTTCTCAGAAATACTACATCTGTGCTATAGCAATAGCATTTAGATTATATACCGCTTCACAGTGCTTTACTGCCCTCTCTAAGCAGAATTTTCTTCTGACAGAAAGAGAAAAATGACTTTTCTCAGGTGAGATGGGAAGAGAGCACTGAGCAAAGATAAAATAATCAGATACTTTAACCATGCAAAAATAGATTTTTTTCATGACTCCATGTATGACTCATTTTGGACAGGTGAGAACACAGTGTGGTTTCCTATACTCTCTTAGGCTGATGACTACAAGTACCTTGATCCAATTCAAACCATCATTTATTACTTATGTCAGAGACCAACCATTTGATGGTCTACAGAGAATTAAAGCCGGTGAAATTGTGTTCATTTGTAATGGGCAACTGAAACAAAATTGAAGTTGGAATAATCTCTTCTCACTTCACTCTTTTTTTAGGAATGAACTAAATGGCAAACAGCACCACAGTGAGGGAATTCATATTGTTAGGGCTGACTAACAACCAACAAATTGCTGTTGGCCTTTTTCTCATCCTGCTTGGGATTTATCTTTTGACATTGATAGGAAACATGTTGATTATTATTATCACATTGGTGAATGCCCAACTCTGTAGTCCAATGTATTTCTTTCTCCGTCATATGGCATGGATAGAGATTGGGTATATAAGTAGCATCATTCCTAAAACGCTGGCCAACATAGCCACTGGCAACAAGATTATTTCTTTAGCTGGTTGCTTCATACAGATGTTCGTCTATTTTGTTCTTGGCATCACTGAATTCCTTCTACTGGCCACAATGTCTGTTGATCGCTACATAGCCATCTGTAAGCCTCTTCACTACACAACCATCATGAATGAACAAATCTGTTCATTATTGGTACTTTGTTGCTGGATTGGGAGTTTGTCACTAATTCTAGTTCCATCTATTCTTTTCGTTCAAATACCATTTTGTGGTCCTAACATCATCAATCATTTCTTTTGTGACAATGGAGCAGTAATCAAACTCTCATGTGTTGATACCAGTCTCCTAGAACTGATTAATTTTGTGGTTGCCACATTCTCTCTGCTTGGGACCTTAAGTGTTAACATTGTGTCTTATGTCAAAATCATTTCTACGATTCTGAGCATCCCATCAACTACAGGGAGGAAGAAGACGTTCTCCACCTGTGCATCTCACATGATTGTGGTCTCCATCACTTACAGCAGTTGTGTTTTCATGTACATAAGACCCAAAGGCAGCAGCAAATTAGATTTCAACAAAATGATAAACCTTCTGAATACTGTCCTGGCTCCACTTTTGATCCCGTTCGCATATTGTTTGAGGAACAGACAAGTGCAGGATGCTTTGAGGACTGAACTGAGACAATGGATTGAGTTCTGCAAGAAATTGAAGTGATTTGTTATAGATGTGACCTTGAATTAGATTTTAAAGTTCAACTTCTGCTTTGTTAAGTTATGGCATGTGCTGCTTTCAGATGTAATGATCACACACTGAGGTGGTTTACAAGAGAACATGGTAATCAGGAAGCAAAACATCTGATAATCCTCAACAAAATAAAGCACAATATATCAGGAACATGCACACAATATTTTGTTCTGTCTTTGGGTTTGATATCTACAGAGGAAACTGACAGAAAATGCTTGATAGACATTTCTTCCAATTTGCAATAGTTTTCTTTGATCCTCGAGAAGGCCCTGTGGGATCTTCACAGTTAGTCTCGAATACATGTTGCGCCTTATGCTTTAAAATGGTAACTAGCTTCATTGTTTATAAGAGGCGGCTTCCATGTTCATTGCCCTGAAGAGATATGGAAGAAGAAGGCAGCAAAATTGCACAGCAGGTACATCTGAGAATGGAGAAAGTTATGCTTCCCAAACATTTTAACAGATGCATTTGCTTTGCACCATTTCACAATCTAGAAAAATGACTATTACTCAAAGAAAATTGCAAGACCATAGCCTAGAGACCATGAACAATTTCTGAAACTTTTTTGTGTATATTGTAAGTGGTGAAAATATTGCCTGCCAAATATAAACTAAGGAGAAAAAAATGATATATATTGTTGCTTTTCCTCTGATTTGTAACATTATTAAACATATCCTCTAGGAAACGCTCTGTTTTTTAGCTGAGAGAGACAGTGTTGTCAAAAAAACCCAAAACCCTCTTTCGTGGTCATGCAGCCAGCATGACTATATGCTGAGGGACACAAAATGCTTCTCCCTTCCTATCAAAGTGGTACCTATTTATCTACTCACATTTCTATGCTTTAGAACTGCTAGGTGGGCAAGAGCTGCAGCAAATTATGAGAGATCAACCTGTTGCACAGCATTCAGGTCTCAAATGTAGGCTGTCAGTTTTCCAGCTAACAAGCTGAGCATCTTTAACTGCTGAGGCATCATGCCCTCTTTCAAAAATACACTTCCCTTCTACTGTCCAATATTCAATAGTGGTGAATATCTGTGTCAGACCATCCTATTTGAGCTTCTCCGCAAGTAAGCCAGTAAACAGGAACGTGGAGACCACCAATAGCTTTATTGCGATATTGGAAATAAAATTAGCACTGGAAGTGGCTTGCTCCCAGCTTCTTATATATCATCCACGCACTCCACCCTAAAGCTGCCTGACCCACCCTAGCACCCGAGCACCCTGCCTGGCCCCACCCTAGCACCCTGCCTGTCTCCACCCTAGCACCCTGGCCACCATCCACTCTCCGAGCACCAGCCCCACCCACTAGTGTCTCCATCTTGGTCCTACTCTCAAGGGTGGTTTGCCATCAGTGCGAACACCACCTGCAGTCCGCTGCGGCCCACCGACCCATTGCGGCCCCTTGGAACAAGCTGGTTCCACATGGAAGGTTATCGGCCCAGCGAGGTGTTTCTCTGTGGTGTTTCTCTATAGCCACAGCCCTTTGTTGCAGCCAGGTGCACCTTGATGACATCATCATGGTCAGACGCATCACGCCAGCAGTCCCCGACAGGAGACCAACAGCAGCAACACCGGCAGCAGCATCGCATCGGAGCAGGTAACCAAGGCCTTGTCAGATGGGGAACTAACATTGGCTCCGACCAGGCCAAATGCGACTAGGCCTCGCAGGGCACGACATTCAGCTCCCCCTACCAGGAGTCCCCCTGGAAGGAAGCATAACACGGTTAGAAGCCCCCCTGATTACTGAGCCCCGGTGTCCCGCCTGCCCGGCCTACCGGGATGGGTTTGATGATATCTGCTTATAAGTTGGGGAGCAGAAACATCTCTAGCCTCCACCCAGGATGCCTCGGATAGAGGATACTCTTTCCACAGGACAAGGTAGTACAACTGACTCCTCCTTACTCTTGAATCCAGAATTTCCTGTACTTCATATCTGCCTGGGGTGACTGGGACTGGCCCTTCTTGTATGGCCTCAGCCGCCACTGGCTTTAACAAACTGACATGAAACATCAGGTATATTTTACCCAGGAATCGCCGTAGTCGTAATCGTACGGCTACCGGGTTGATGATTTTGGGTCACCCTGAAGGAACCAATATACTTAGGGGCTAGTTTCCTACATGGCACCTGGAGGTTTATGTATTTTGTTGACAAATAAACCAGGTCACCCATTTTGAACGGTGTTTCAGTTCTACGTTTTTCATCTGCTTGTTTCTTCGCCACTTCCCCTGCTTTTGTCAGTGCTCTTTTGACTACATCCCACACCCCCTTTACGTGGTTGTACCAGTCATCGACCTTACAGGGTTGGGGCTCCTGGGTTCTGCACTCCGGTATTGGTACGAATTCCCTACCGTACACCACCTGGAAAGGGGTGAATCCAGTGCTGCTATGTACAGCATTATTGTATGCCATCTCCACAAATACTACCAGATCCACCCAATCCATCTGTTGGTATGAGATGTAACTTAGGAGTTATCACTCAACTGCAGCATTAGCTCATTCTGCTGCACCATTGGTGCTTGGATGATAGGCTGAACTAAGACCTTGGGTGGAGCCGAGGAACCGGATGAATTCATGCCAAAACTGTGCTGTGAATTGAACTCCGCGGTCTGAGATTATGCGATGTGGTGTCCGGTGGAGTCGATATACATGGGTCAGAAATATTTTTGCTAACTTTCTGGCTGACGATAGTCCTTTACAGGGAATGAAATGGGCTTGTTTGGAAAACAAATCTCCTACGGTCCATATCACCGTGTACCCTCGAACCTTAGGCAACTCCACAATGAAGTCCATGGCTATATCTTGCCATGGACGGTCCGGGTCTACGACAGGCTGAAGCAACCCGATCGGCTTCCCGGGATATGGTTTTGACTGAGTGCACACATGACAATCATTTACATATGTCTAGATATCCCGCCTCATCCGGGGCCACAAGAACTGACGTCTGGCTAGATGTAAGGTTTTTAAAAATCCAAAGTGAGCCGCTTGTTTCGAGTCATGGCACCAGTGACAAACCCGTTTTCGCATTTCTTTTGGTATGTATAGTTTATTGCTATACCATGCCAATCCGTCACTTTGAGTTAGCAAGCCAGGATTGTCCCACAGCCACATATCCTGTACTAGTGCCGCTCTCAAATCATCCTCAAAAGACCCCACCTTGGTGCAAGTATGTACCCCAGGTTGGTCATATGTAGGCAGGATTGCTTGCACTACCTCAACTCTTTTACTGTCATATTGTGGGAGTCGGGACAAAGCATCAGCGAGGAAATTCTTACCCCTGACACATATTTGAGGTGAAAGCAAAATCTTCTGAAATATTGTGCCCAACACACATGCTTCGATGACAGACGCCTAGGGGTTTGCAATACTTCCAAATTCTTATGGTCAGTCCAGACCTCAAACGGATATTTAGCTCCCTCCAGCAGATGTTGCCAAGTGTAGAGAGCTCACCTTATGCCAAATGCCTCCTTCTCCCAGATAGCCCTTGCTCTCTCCATCTCTGTCAACTTGAGGGAGGTATACGCACAGAGCTGCTGTTTCCCTTGATTGTTCACTTGGAGTAACACAGCCCCCACACCAACATCACTAGCATCAGCCTGTACTACAAATGGTTGTTCTGGATCTGGGTGCAACAACACAGGCTCTTGTGCAAACAATGCCTTCAGTGTTTGAAAAGCTTTTTGACAGTGAGTTGTCCCGGCCAAGGCCTGTCCAGGACGAGGTTTTGTTTTACAGGACCGAGTGCATAATAAATTTGTTATCAATTATTCTCTTACTAATAAAGGAGAACATTTGTAGCTCAGTGTTGACATGAGGGATCCTTGGTGCTCTCTGAGCTTGCTTGTTTCCTTGCAGACATTTCATTACCAAAACTAGGTAACATCATCAGTGCTAGTAAGGAGTGGGGTTTGCTGTCAGTTTATATTCTAGACTAGCTTTGCTGGCTGAGGAATTCTGGGAGTTGAAGTCCACACGTCTTAAAGTTGCCATGGTTGAGGACCCCTGTTCTAGTGTATATTCTACTCCAGGGGGTCTTCAGACTTGGCCATTTTATGACTTGTGGACTTCAAGTCCCAGAATTCGTCAGTCATTAGATGTTGTTAATGTCTATGTGTCTATTAAAAAGACATTAACAAGCACCTCTCCACCAGCAACCAGCACCCAGATCAGCATAGATTAACTCCAATGTTAACATCAGACCAATAATCAAGTAAACAATATCCCAAGTATTACTAGGTAACTGAGCAGGTTACCTAGTTTGGGTAATGAAATGTCTGCAAGAAAATGAACAAGCTCAGAGAGCACCAAGGACCCCTCAAGTATTCTGTATCTGCTGCCTTTATTGATGTCAAACACAAAGACAGAGAAAATCATTGTGCTCATGTTCCTCATACTTTGTGCTTTGTTTTGTTCTCTGTCATGTAACATACTAAGTTTTGTTGTGGTTTGCTTTTGACTTAACCTCTATGAACCCAACCTCTGTGATATGTAACTATGGTACAGGCTTTGTTACTTTTTGAAGCACACAGTGCAAAAGGTGTTAGCAAATTCAGGATGGGATTGGGTGGATTAAAATGATATTGGGTTAGGTTGGATTGGATTGAATTGAAAGTTGGTTATAAGATGGGTGGCTATGTAAACGTTTTAAGTAAATAATTAGGCTGTATTTAAAACCAAATTATTTTTCTAGTTGAATGCAACTTTTCCTCTTGACCATTCATGATGCTCAATCTCACCCTCCCACTTCTTTCTGTGGAGGAGTTATTGTGGGAATTAGGTGCTTCTGCTAAAACACGTAATTCCCACAATAATGTCTTATGTCTAAAGATATAGTTTATCTTTTCTATTACATTCTATTATGGGTGTCTTATGATTAGATTACTTTGTTATTTGTATGTACATTGAGAGTTTATGCACCAGAGACAAATTCCTTGTGTGTCTGATAAAACCTGGCCAACAAAACTATTCTATTCTGTTCTGTTCTGTTCATCTGACTATGTGGCTGGTGGGTCCTTTTCTTATAAAACTAGGAAATAGTGGTGGAATAGCTGTCACACGAAGCATTGGGACATTCATGCTTTAAGGAGGGGGGACATGATTGGAGAAATAATGAAAAGAAGTGATGTGTTGAATCATGGGTAGTATATAATCCATCTGGAATGTCCAACATATGTAGGAAATACGTCACCTTTTCTCCACTAGAACCATGCTGTGATGACTCAAAGGTTATTGATCTGTATCCAGACACAACACCTTACTTATTTCCTCCCAGCTTCCATAGTTTCATACCTCTAAATATACATCATCATTTCTTTATATCATTTCTGTTCTGTTCCCAATTTGCAAATATTTCTCATATAAGACTTAAATTATAATTAGGAAGCAAATCATTTTATGTCAGCTGGATTTTTTTCTTAAATAGTATTGATACTGCAACCCAAAATGATTTTTTTTCAAAAGAATGATGTGACAATTTCACATCACTTGGGTGAAAATAATTCTGTTCCTTGCATACTTACACATATATTTGAAACTACGTCACCAGTTACATTTTTCTAATAGTAACTTAGAAATTAAAAGCCAAGAAGGTGAAAGATCAAACAAGAGTGCTGAGATCTAAGGAACAGCCAAGCAAGAATTCTAGTCCCAATAGAGGAGAATTTCAATGCTAGTCTTCATTCAAGATCAGGATTACAACTAGAAATAGAAATGCAACAATTTCAAAGCATCAAAATGTACACAGATTGTTTCCAAGTCCTGAACAATCCATCATAATATAAAAACCACCTTTCACAAAATTTAACTCTGATGTAACTGTGGCCATACCCATGCTGTCCTCCTAATAGCAGCACAGAAGCCCTTTTTTCACTGTGCTCTTCTGGAATGTATTTTTGAGATCCCAATCTAGACAACAGCAGTAGGCGATAGTTCTCTTATCCATATATCGACAAACTCCAACTCTGTGTTGATTTGTTTGAGATCAGCCAAGGTTGGCTAAGTGTTTCCAATGGTTTCTTCTCACAAAATATGTTTTTCCCTTTGCAAGCAGTCTCGGAAAGCATCTTTGACCTTCTCATTCCTCAAAGTGTAAATAAAAGGGTTCAGTAACGGGGTGACCACAGCAGTTAGAACTGCCACAGCTTTCTGGGCATCCCGAGAAT